TGTGATGTCAGCATTTTTTTGTCGCGGAAAGTGACGTTGCGGACCTTAAAACTCCGGTTTTGTCTGTCCACACTCAGACACCCAAAACGGAGAAAATGCAGATCTTCACTTTGGCCGGAGTTTTTAAAAAGATCCGTTTTCGTGTGAAAAAACTCCGTTTTCATGTGGATGACAGGCCAAAACGTAGAAAAATATCTATGTTTTGGCAGATCCCCGGCTACGTGTGGACAGGGCCTATAAGAGAACGGAGCACATCACTCCTGTTCATAGATCCCTACACTGGTTACCAGTAAACTACAGAATAGATTTCAAAGTGCTCCTACTAGTTTATAAATCACTCAGTGGCATGGGACCAAAATACACGTCAGATCTCATTCCTGTATATACACCCAGTAGGGCTCTGAGATCCCTTGGAAACAATCAGCTGGCAGAACCTCGGGTCAGAACAAAACATGAAGATGCATTTAGTTACTATGCTGCTCACATATGGAATCAGCTTCTCCTGGACCTCAGATGTGCCCCAACCCTAGTGTTGTTTAAAACAAAACTAAAACCCTAATGTACTCATCAGCATTTTAAAAGCATTGTTTCTTATGCTGCATTATCTCCACTGTAATCTCTGATAAAATTACTCAACTTTAATTTTGTTTTTTCCTTTTAACTCTAAATTACAATTTTATTTGTGTATATTTTAAATTTGTGTTCTCCTGTTTGTTGTCATGCTCATTGTAAAGCACGTTGAGTTGCCCGTGTTTTAATAAATTCAAATTCAAATTCAATTCAAATTCAAAAATACTTTATTAATCCCAGAGGGAAATTGATTGCTGTAGTAGCTCAGAATAATAATAATCAAGTCATCAAAGAGTTATTGTATATTACAATGGCTGTTGGCAGGAAGGATCTCCAGTAGCGGTCAGTGGTGCAGCGAAACTGAAGAAGCCTCTGACTGAAGACACTCTTAGTTGTCGGACAGTCTTGTGAAGAGAATGCTCAGGATTGTCCATAATTTTCTTGATTCTCTGGAAAATCCTTCTTTGCATTATCTCCTCCAGCGGTTCCACAGTCATCCCCAGAACAGAACCAACCTTTTTTATTAGGCTGTTGAGCCTTTTCAGGTCCCTGCTTCTGATGCTACTACCCAAACAGATGATGGCTGAAGAGATTACACTCTCAAAAACAGACTTGTAGAAGATCTGCAGCATCTTGCTACAGACACTGAACGACCTAAGCTTCCTCAAGAAGTGCAGTCTGCTGTGTCCCTTCTTGTAAATAGCTTCGCTGTTCTTTCTCCAGTCCAGTCTGTTGTCCAGGTGAACTTCAAGGTGTTTGTATTCCTTAACCACCTCCACTTCTTCTCCCATGATGGAAACAGTGTTTGACTCCACCCCGTTTCTTCTGAAGTCTAAAATCATCTCCTTTGTTTTTACCTATTGAAGAACTTGTTCAGTTCATTGGCTGTGTCCAGGCTGCCATCTGCACAATCCTTCCTCTGCTTGAAGCCTGTGGTCTTCTTCATCCCTGACCAGACATCTCTGATATTGTTCCTCTGAAGTTTGTTCTCCAGCTTCTTCCTGTATGCCTCCTTGCTGTCTCTGATCTTGATCTTCAGTTGCTTCTGTATACTCCTCAATAAGTCCTTGTCTCCCTCCTTGAAGGCTCTTTTTTCTCATTTAGCAGGTTCTTCAGTTCACTGGTGATCCAGGGTTTGTTATTAGCGAAGCATGTCACTGTTCTGGTGGGTATGATGTTGTCCACACAGAAGTTTATATAGTCAGTGACACATCCAGTCATGGCTTTGATGTCCTTTTCATATCCTTGGCAGAGAGTCATCCAATCTGTGGTCTCAAAAAACCCTACAGGGCTACTTCAGCATCCTGTGACCATTTTCTCACAGTTCTTTTTGTCACAGGTTGCCTCTGAACAAGTGGTTTGTATTCTGAGCAGAGAAAAACAAGATTGTGATCTGATTGTCCCAGAGGAGGTCTTGTTTTGGACATGTATGTATTCTTTACATTTGCATAACACAAATCCAATGTCTTGTTTTCTCTGGTGGAGCAGCTGACAAACTGTTGAAATGTTGGAAGTGTAGCAGAGAGCGAGGCATGATTAAAACCACCAGATATAGCCACAAATGCATTGGGGTGCTGGGTTTATAGCTTAGCGACAACGGAACTAATGTCATCACATGCATTTTCAGCAATGGCTGAAGGTGGAATATAAACGGTTGCCAAGACAACACTGGTGAACTCTCTTAGCAAATAATATCGGCGACAACTTACTGCCAATAGTTCAACATCTGGTCTGCAGAGACGACATTTCACTGAAACTTGACATGGATGGCACCATCTGTTGTTGACAAGCACTGCCACTCCACCTCCTTTTCTTTTCAGATCTTTGCTTGCTCGCACAGTCAGGAAGCCTGGCAGAGAGACGCTGGAAACAGGGATATGGTCCTGCAGCCACGTCTCAGTGAAACACATAACACTGCACTGCCGGAACTTTGGCTAAGTCCTTGAAAGGGCTTGGAGTTCGTCCATATTGTTGGCCAGTGATCTCACATTGCCCATTATGATCGATGGAAGAGATGGTTTGAATTTCCTCTTTCTCTGTCTCCATTTTGCTCCTGCTCTGCACCCACGCTTCTTGCGTTTTAGCTCATTTGGGATATGCAGCTTCAGTTGAGGTATTATTTCAGCCTTTCCAATGTTAATCAGCTGCTCCCGATTGTAAACCAGCTTGTTGCCATGGTTATGCATTGTAACAAATGCTCAAAAAGTGAAAAAATAGCAGTAAAAATCCTCTAAGCTTCACAGCACCAGAAACAGAAAAGCAAAAGGTCCGAAAAAACATAAAAACAAAAAAATTAAAGCTGTCTTGCCTCTATGTCATGGACAACAACACCGTAATATCACATAATTTACGAAAGGTGGAAAATTTACATGTACTCGTTAGCTGGCAGCCTAATGCAGAGCTAACACTTCATCCCAGGACTTAAGCAATGTCTGCAGTTTGGAGGGTTTCATAATAGCTTTCGGTTTAGAGAAAACTACAGAGTAACTGAGGACATTGTCCTGCGTGGTGCAAAATGTCCTGTGTGAGACACTCCCATGTCTACCAGCTTGGCAGGCCTGGCTGAAAGGTTTTTTTGAAAACAGAGTTACTAAAATTGAGTCAATAAGAGAAACGATTTAGGGCACACTGAGAGATGTGGGGTGAGGCGCCACAGTCCCTCCGACCCGGTTTTAGATGACCTAAACGTTTTATACTGAAAGGTGAAACTAATAAATGACATTTACATGCAAAGCCAGGTGTTTCAAGCCTTTGTTTGCTATAACTGTGATGATTATGGCTTACAGCTGTTGAAAAACCCCACAATCAACATCTCAGACAAATAGAACATTGGGGCAAAGGTTCAATATTCTAGACTCAAAGTGTCACACTAATCAGCTGATGAGAACATCTGCAGAAGGTTCCTGAGCCTTTAAACCAGGGATGGGGAAACCTGGTCTATCCTGCATGTTTCAGCTGTTTCCCTGCTTCAACACTCTTGATTCAGTGGTTGAATCACCTGTTCAGCAGCTCATCGGGCTCTGCTGAAGCCTGCTTGATGTGTTGAAGCAGGGAAACAACTAAAACATGCTGGATTGCGACCCTCGAAGGCCCAGGATTCCCCATCCCTGCTTCAAACTGTCTCTGAGTCTGAGCGGGATTACTGAAATAAACTGTCTTTTGCTCCACAGTCTAGTATTTCAGAAAGAAATATCTTTTATAACGCGCCTCTCAAGATAAAAATCACCAGGCGCTTCACAACAAATATTTAAGTATAAAAAAGATTTTAAAAGATGATTAAATATATATTTAAAATGAGAGACAAAAATTATAAATACTAATAAAAATTGTGATAAAAACAATAAAAATTTCAGGAAAGGGAGAGAGAAAATGAATAGGAAAGAGGGAAATCAATGGATCCAGGGAAAGGCGGAAGGGTGGTGATGAAGGTCCCACCAAAGTCTGAACAGGTGAGTTTAAAGGAAACCACTGAGTCCACTGATCTCAGGCTCATGGGGAGAGAGCTCCAGAGTCTAGTGGCCACAGCAGCAGATGATCTGTCACCTTTCTTTAGCCTGGTGCTGCACAACCAGTAGGCTTTGGTCACTGGACCTCAGGGACCTTCTGGGGGTGCAGGGACTGAGAAGATCACCAATGTATGATGGTGCTTGTCCATGTAAGGCCCTATAGACCAGAACCAGGTTCCACCCTGTATAATAGACCAATCAAACACTGGCGGCCAACGTTTTCATCTAAAATGCACCAGAATGCAACTTTTAACACTTAAATTTTTGAACATATAATCTGTCATTTTTCTTTTATTATTTAAGAAAGGCAAAACAACAATCAAATAAATCAGAAACCCGATGTGTAATGAAATTAGCAGTTTTTTAAGCCCTGTTGCCCAGCCCTATGGTATTATTTAAATGTGTTCACCTTCCTCTCATCATCAACCATCTAAAATCTCCTCACCATACCTGCACCGCTCTCTGTCTCACCCTCCCTGCCTCACCCTTACCAGTTTCCAGCTGAACATCTATTCTCTAATATAAAACACAGTGAATATAAATAAGGTATAAAAAGGATGGGAATGCCACCCACGCACAGAAGCTCACAGTTTTTATGTGGCAGATGTGTAACAGGTGATGAAGGCCTGAAATACTAACTATGGAATAAATAAATCCACAGAAAGGACCTGAAACAAGGAATTCCTTTACTAAAGGTCACCACCTGGTGCTAAAATGCCGTTTTCTGTTCATCGTTGTGTTATGGTTGCTTGTCATTGATTCTATAAAAAAAAGGGTGTTTCTGTGGTTGTGGTCGGGTTTGGGTTTGGGTTGGGTCACCTGCTGACTTCAGGTGCATGATCAGAGCAGGTTATGGTTCAGAAAACAGGATAGACCCAACAGACGTTTGGTTTAAAACCATCTTTTATTCCCGTCTGTCGCTTTCATTTCCTGTCATTTAAATGAAAGCAAACACGTTTTTATATCTTGAAATAAAACTGTCAACTCAGCTTAAACGAAACAAAGTTAGCCATTTAAATCAGCTCAAGCAGGTTCTCAGGAAGAATACCTGAGCGGGGTTTGGTGTTTCTGACGCATTTTACGTCACACCAGACACCAGCCAATCACGTTCCTGAGAAGCTACCTGGCCTGTCCACCTGTTCATCACAGAAGGCTGCGGCGCAGAGGGAGGAGGTCCGCGAGGCGTGAGATGCGGTTTAAACCATTTAAATGTGGATTCTTGTTGGTTCTGGCCGGCTTTGTGTCGCTGTCCTGGATCCGCTCGGTTCCCGGTGATGGAGGTGAGCATTAACGGGTGTCGTTACGTTTCTGGGCTCCTGGCGTTGCCGCGGACCGGCTGATAAAGCTGCGGAGTCTGGTCCCGTTCCTCACACAACCTGATGCGGACCGGTTCTACTAGAGTTGTGAGACCCTGCGGGTACGCGTGCGTGTGCGCGTGCGAGAACTCTGTACAGAACAGAGAAGGGTTCTCCAGGTGGTTAACAGCAAACCTCAGGTCTTAAAACTGAATTGTTCTGAAAACAGGAAGTTGTTCGTTACCCAGAATGATGATGAGTCCATGCCCTCAGTGGTAAAACCTCAGAACCAGGAAGGGTTGGTGATCAGAACCACATCACCTCCAGATCAGCTCCTGGTCCTCCTGCAGGGTCACATGATGGACCCCATTTATCTCTGGCTGCAATGCATCATGGATGTGCTACACCTGTTCATGACCTTTACCAACTAGTGGATGAAACCAGCAGTCACACTGAGTTTGTTCCACCTGAACACGACCGTCCCTGCGTGTCCTCACGTGGACCCGGACTTGTGTCCATCCTGGACCTTTTCCTGTGAGCCAAATTGGACATTCCTGTTTTCCTATTCCGATTAGTCTGCTAATCTCGACCGGAAAAGGGTGGCTTGCCAACTCCGGGTCAGGGGAGAGGTCCTACCTCAAGTGGAGGGGTTGAAGTATCTCGGGGTCTTGTGCACGAGTGAGGGTAGAAGGGATCGGGAGATCGACAGGCGGATTGGAGCATCTGCAGTGATGCCGACGCTGAGCCGATCTGTCGTGGTGAAGAGGGAGCTGAGCCAGAAAGCCAGGCTCTCGATTTACCGGTCGATATACGTCCCAATCCTCACCTATGGTCATGAGCTTTGGGTAATGACCGAAAGAACGAGATTGCGGATACAAGCGGCCGAAATGAGTTTCCTCCGTAGGGTGGCCGGGCTCAGCCTTAGAGATAGGCTGAGGAGCTCGGACATTCGGGAGGGACTCGGAGTAGAACTGCTACTCCTCCGGATCGAAAGGAGTCAGTTGAGGTGGTTTGGGCATCTGGTCATGATGCCTCCTGGACGCCTCCCTGGGGAGGTGTTTTGGGCATGTCCTGCCGGCAGGAGGCCTCCGGGTCGACCCAGGACACGTTGGAGAGGTTACATCTCCAATCTGGTCCGGGAACGCCATGGGGTCCTGCCGGAGGAGCTGGTGGAGAAGGCCGGGGAGAGGACGGTCTGGAGCTCCCTAGTTGGGATGCTGCCCCCGCGACCCGGACCCGGATAAGTGGAGGAAGACGACGACGATTAGTCTGCCGAGTTAAATGTACAAGAGCCTGTTTCTTTGTTCCATTACCATTCGACTGTGAGAAGCGATCTTTGATTCTTTTGTGGTTTTGTTCAGAACGTCCAAATGGGTGCCATCGCTGTCTTCAGATGTGCTTATGCAAACTCAGGTGTCTCTGCTACAGGTGTAGAAGAGTTAGCTGACATGTTAGCTCTGTTAGTGTCGTCACACGAGTTTCTGGCTGACTTCAACTCAACACAGTGACAGATTTAGTCCTGGACCTTCATCTGTAAATCTGTTGATGCTGGAAACCTGCAGCGGACCTCTTCTCCTCAGCTCACTGGTACACGATGCTAACAGACAGTGGTGAGGACAGCAGATATTCCAGTGATGAAATTAAACACCACAAGAAAGGAAAGGAAGGTTCTTTTGGGTTGAGTGCAGTCCTGTCAGGAATTTAGTCCTGATGATGCTGAAAGTTCTTCGACGGAAACATAAAGCTGAGAAGCTCCAAAGGCTTGGTGAGGAGTAGAGAACAAATAAAACTGAGCCTCATGTTTCCTGTTTGATCAGTACCGGATCTGAAGACCCTGTACAAGAGGCTTTTGGTGGCTGAGGAGCTGGGGGGGCAGGTCAGCAAAGATCTCAGCAGCATCCTGGGTGAGCTGGTGAACATGTCAAGAGCTGCCAACATCAGCAACCCATTCACTAACTTCTCCAACAACACCATCTGCAGGGGTGAGCCTTAACACTGTGTGTGTGTGTGTGTGTGTGTGTGTGTGTGTGTGTGTGTGTGTGTGTGTGTGTGTGTGTGTGTGTGCTTCAAGTCTGAAAATGCTATGTTCACCATCTCACTAGCCGCTCTGCCAGTTTCCCCATCTCTAAAGTGCTCTCACACCAGGGTTAGAGCTTGTTTGACTTCTTCCTGTCAAGTATTTTTTCCAAATTGCTAGTTTTGCGTAGAAAAAGACTTGCGCAATGTTCAGACCCAGTTTTGTCCATAAGTAAGCGTTTTAAATGAGGCCCCTGGACTGTTGCTCAGCCGTCCAAGTCCTCTTTACAGATCAAACTGAAGTCTGCAGCTCCTTTGGAGATCAAGGTCCCAGAGTCTGGAGGAAGAGTGTAGAGTCCCAAAAATCCACGTTGCTGAAGTCCAGAGTCAGGTTTCCACCGTTGGTGATGATTTGGGGCACCGTGTCATCTGCTGGAGTTGCGCCACTTGGTTTCGGAGGTTTCCACTTGATGGAAACGGGATGTTTTAGTTACTTTTGTGCTCCTCCAACAGAGTCCTTCTCCTCCTGCACTCCCTGTTTGGAAAAGGCCTTTCTTTAACCTGCGTGATTCCCAGTTTGGCTCTGGGATATTGTATTTGCTAACATTTGTTCTCATGTCCCTGTCCTCCTGTAATGGTAAACAGAGAAGCAGCTGAGAGGGAATTCAAGCCAGCACACCTTCCCTCAAGCCAACATTTACCTGTACATGCCTCACCTGAGACAGCACCCAGACAGCCTTGTTCCAAATGTAGTGCTGGGAAAGGCCCGCCGTGGAGGTACACACACACACACGCACGCACGCACGCACGCACGCACACACGCACGCACACATGCACACACACACACACACACCTGAACCAAACCCAAATGAATTCACACCCATGAAATATTTGGTTAGACATGTTGCTTTCTCAGGGGTCCAGGGTCCATCTGGCTCCTTTAGACATGGAGGGGCATTGGCTTTGGCAGGAGTCCCCTCACCAACCCTAGATCTATCTAAAACCTGACCCACAAACTAACTCCAGACCCAAAAACCGCTCTGAGTCTTTGGGGAATGCAGATGAAAGAAAAGTTGTGTGTGTGTGTGCGTGTGTGTGTGTGTGTGTGTGTGTGTGTGTGTGTGTGTGTGCGCGTGCGCCTGCATGCGTGTGTGTCCCTCTACAGTATCCATGGTCCTGGGGATTCCCACGGTGAAGCGGCAGAAGCAAAGTTACCTTCTCAACACTCTCAGCTCTTTGCTCTCCAGCCTGTCCTCCTCACAAAGCCTGGATCTCCTCATCATCGTCTTTGTTGCTGAGGTTATAAACTCTTTATTACCATGTACTTGAATTCACTGCTGATCAAACACACTTCGGTTTATTTTTATATTAGATGTAAAACTGGAAGCGGATGCTAGACCTTTGACAGACAGCCTTGAGCTCACTTCTTGGACTAGTCTTTAATCAGCAGCAGTGGACTGTTGGGTGTTTTTTACTCAGTGCATGTAAATTTATGTAAACTAGTTCCCTCTGATGTGAATCGGTGTGTTTCTGCAGCACACACACACACATGGACACACACGTGCATGGACACACGCACCTGTTGAACCAGTTTTGTTTGTGTGGACCTTTTCGTTTAAGTCAGTTAAAAGAAAGCTGGTTTCACGAGGTCTGGCTTTCCAGGGACTGCATCACATCAGCAAATGGTTAGGACCAAATCTTTGGGAATCCTGCTCTGACTCATAATCATTTCTTTTATTCAGTCAGACTCAGACTATGTGGGCAGAGTGGCCCGGATCATCGTGGAGAGGTGAGTACTTCCAGCTCAGCTTACTGTCACCGATTTCTCCTGTGGGTTTTAATTTATCCCAGTGTTTAGCTTGGAATGTTTTCTACGGATTTTCAGGAACTCCTAAGGTGTTTTTGTAGGGCTGCACAGTTTGTACACAAGCTGCTGGGTGTGAGAAATGTCTAAGATAGTTAACTGGTTTATATTAGGTTACATCAGGCTGCTGGCGCTACAGCCTCCCCCTTGCAGACTTTGTTTCAGTTTACTTAGACAGCATGTGAACAGCAAGTTATAAATGTGAGACTTACACAGTCAGTCTGTTGAAAGACTCGAAGGAAAGTTGGTTTTCAAACCTCTGTAAAGTAAAGTTAAGTGATGCAGACTAAATCTTCCTCTGCAGATTTCCAAAGGAGGTGGAGTCCGGTTTGATAGAGGTCATCTCACCTTCACAGCATTACTACCCCAACTTCAACACCCTCAAAGAGACGTTTGGAGACTCCAAGAACAGAGTCAAGTATGCATAGAGATTCACACGCCTTCCATCGAAGATGGATGGGTGGGTGGATGGATGGATGGATAATTGGATGCCTGTTTTTGGGCCACAGAACTTAACGTTGCCCCGCACGTGTTTCAGATGGAGAACAAAGCAGAACTTGGACTACAGCTTCCTCATGCTGTATGCTCAGGACAGAGGAACCTATTATGTTCAGGTGAGACTCCGACTTAAAGAGCAAGTTCACTGAGAAATAGTTTTTTACTTTTTTAAATAAGATCAGTCACTCTTGAGTTTAATATGCAGGCTGAACATGCCAATAGTCTCCTACACCTATCTCCTGCTTTATCTTCTGAAAGAAAACAGACGGTGAAACTCTAGTATTAGAAAAGCCTGACAGATCTACGTCACACTGTCACTAACATTCATGGACTCACCCATCTTGACTCATGACGAGGAAGGCTGTTGTTGGTTTAGCGTCCAGGAAACAGCAGAGAGCGTCTCGGCTAGTAGAAGCTAACAATTAGCATTAGCAACTCCACCACACAGCAGAACTCCTCCAGGCTTGTGTTATTTGTGGGGATAAAACATCAACGTTGCAGAGCAAACAGTCAGCGGTAGAGTCGTGTTGCTGTAAGCCAATCAAATCCTGCCATCTGAAGCTCAGCTGTAATGTGGCTCACTTCTAGTTCCTGAAAATGGCGCACTGCTGTTTTTTCCTCAGTGTTCAAATTACAAGGCATTCATTTATACTAGAGACTGCTGCAAATATGTAAAAAAAAAAAAAAACTAGACAACTTGGTCTTTAAGTTCCCTCCCATTATTAAGTTGCATGTAGACGCAGCTAGGAGTCGAGGCTGGATGGTTCTGCTGCTGCAAATTACAGAATTCAGCTTTGTTGAAATGGATCAAAGTCAATTACATTTGGTTACAGCTGCTTCTTTAAGCTCCAGACAAGGAAGCTTTCTTTATAGAGCACATTTCAAACACGGAGACAATTCAATGTGCTTTACAATTATCAGGACATGATATGAAAACACAAATTAAAATACACACAGATAGAATTACAGTTTAGAGCTAAAGGAGAAGACAAAGTTACAGCACAGGCTATAGTGGAGATGTCGCAGCATAAGAAATAATGCTTTTAAAATGCTGATGAGTACACAAGGGTTTTATTTTTGTTTTAAACAACACTAGGGTTGGGTTAATCAGATATCATGGGGAAGCTGATTCCATACGTGAGCAGCATAGTAACTAAATGCATCTCCACCACGTTTTGTTCTGACCCGAGGTTCTACCAGCTGATTGTTTCCAAGGGATCTCAGAGCCCTGCTGGGTGTACATACAGGAATGAGATCTGACATGTATTTTGGTCCCATGCCACTGAGTGATTTATAAACTAGTAGGAGCACTTTGAAATCTATTCTGTGGTTTACTGGTAACCAGTGTAGGGATCTAAGAACAGGAATGATGTGCTCCGTTCTCTTAAGCCTGGTTTATGCTTCTCTGTCAGCTCTGCAAGGGACAGACACGCACGGATTGACGGAAGCGTTTTGCTCTTTTACTTCTCCGTCTCCTGGGGAGTGTTGCAAAGCAATTCCCCGGCAGGACAACAGAGGGCGTAGCGCTGTTCTGTGGTATCCTGTCATGTATCGGTCCAAGATAGTGTGTTTATATTGTGTTTTTTGAGTATATAAGAGACTTTTAACACAGACATCCTGTCATTTCCGTCCACAAATAAAACGCTTGCTGCGCAACTTTTCACTCCTCCAGTCACGGGAGGATGAAATGTTCATATTTTTGGAGTTTTTTCGCGAGGCATTCTTCAAGCTCCTCCGTGTCTGCCGCTAGTTATCCTCGGCTCTCTTTGCAATGGCGGCGCTGCAAACAACAGCGGCATCCTGACCAATCACAAGCTTGCGTAATCCGTCTCGTTCGACGGATGTTTAAAAAAGTGGGCTCGACTCCGTACGTACTTGCGGGCCTGCCGGAGCCCTACGCAAGGACGGATCATGGCGTTGCGTGTCTCCGCACTGACGCAGACGGAGAAGCATAAACCAGGCTTAAGTTCTAGTTAAGACTCTAGCAGCAGCATTCTGAACAAGCTGCAGTTGCTTCACGGCTTTTTTTGGAAGACCAGTTAGACCATTGCAATAATCCAGCCAACTAGAAATAAAAGCATGAATACGTTTCTCTAAATCTGGTCTGGACATGAGACCTCTGACTCTTGATGATTGATGAAGTTGATAAATCGCTGATTTAGTTAAAGCCTTAATATGTCCAGAGAAGCTCAGGTTGGAGTCAACAATAACACCAAGATTTCTAATCTGAGTCTTTTTCTTTATTCCCCTGGAGTCCAGCTGAGCAATAACATCCATTCTGTCCTTCTTGTTGCCAAAGACAATAACTTCACTCTTGTCTTTGTTTAGCTGAAGGAAGTCCGACTGCATCCAGTCGTTTACTCGTTCTAGACACTGACAGAGTGAGTCCGGTGGCCGATAGTCACTAGGTGATAGGGCTAGGTAGATCTGGGTGTCATCAGCATAGCTATGATAGGCAATGTTGTTATTAAGTATGACCTGACCCAGGGGGAGCATATAGAGATTAAAGAGTAGTGGTCCTAGAATTGAGCCTTGGGGGACCCCACATGTCATGGTGACCCGCTTTGATTGGTAGTCCCTAATAGAGACAACATAGCCCCAGTCTTTGAGATAGGATTGGAACAAGCCAAACACTGTGCCTGATAGTCCCGTCCAGTTTGTGAGTCTCTCCAGAAGATGTTATGGTCCACAGTATCAAAAGCTGCACTGAGGTCAAGCATCATCAGGACAAATGATTTACCTGAATCAAATAAACCTGCCAACCGCACTGAGGCTCATACCTCTAGTTCATCCAGTATTTCAGGTCTCCGATTTGTTTTTTTGACTGAGTTGCTTCCAGAGCTAGTTTGTTGCCAGAGCCTAAACATGCTTCACATGCTATACATGAATAGTTTATTTTTATATGTTGTAAAGCAGAAATCAAAAAGGACTGGCTTTGCAACAAAGTGAATGTTTATTCAGGCGACTTAACCTCCAGTCTGGGGGGAAAGGAGCCAGTTAGAACCGGCTTAGCACTAGTTCTGGCACCAGCCCATAACCAGGACTGGGACGACCCTCATTCATCAAACGTTAGTAGAAACTATCCTATAATCCATCCTACCAATGAAATTTAGAATGTTAGCACGAACTGCCAAAAGACTGAGGTGCTGGCTGCCGAAGTAGAAGAGAACCAAACACATTTCAGAGGTTTTAAACACAGTCGAGATGGAATAGAGGTCCCAGTCTGAAATTAAGATGAAATGGTTCAACATAAAATAGACTATGAAAAATCATGGAGTAACAGAAGTTCCATTCTGGTGTTTATATCTGAGGAGTTGTGTCCACGTTCTGTTTGGAGTTAGTTCTAGTTTGGAAAAGTTTGTTGTCTGAGTACAGAGCAGTCAATTAGTTTGGTTACCTTGGCAACGTGTGTTGGTTCTTGGAGCAGAGTGGAGGAGGTTCTGGGGGGTTAGTTATTAGTAACTGACTCTGGACTTGATCCAGATTTGTGTGGTTTGTCTGTCGCTCCACAAAGGGTCCCAAATCCCGGCATAGCTCCAGAAGGATCTTCTTACGGAATCACGAAGGACCCGTTCTCTCTAGAGTGCACGCTCTGCCACTTCCTCCAAAAACACCAGATCAGCCAATACCATGTCAGATTCCTGTCAGTCACAGGGGTCTTTTATTGGTTTTTACACCAGTTATGTGATAAAGTGGATTCTGCACAGACACAATTACGTAATGGGTAAAAATTATTTGTGGATGAAGAACACGCTTGGATGACTGAGACCTTCAGTGTTTGTGGTTCCCACGTTTTACAAATAGATGCTGTTTGTACAAATGATCTGAGCTGTTCCTCCATCCATTCATCCACCCATTTTGCCAATTGCTTATCCGGAGTCAGTTCGTAGGGGCAGTAGCCTAAGCTGAGAGGCCAAGACTTCCCTCTCCCCAGCCACTTGGGCCAGCTTCTCTGGGGAAATCCCAAGGTGTTCCTTGGCCAGCCAACAGACAAAGTCCCTCCAGTGTGTCCTGGGTCTTCCCTTGGGCCACCTTGACTGGTTCCTCTTGACATAGAGGAGCAGCGGGTCTACTCCGAGCCCCTCCCGGATGACCGAGCTTCTCACCCTATCTCTAAGGCAGAGCCCAGCCATCCTGTGGAGAAAACTAATTTTGACCGCTTGTATCCACAGTCTCATTGCAATCTCGTTCTTTCGGTCACTACCCAAAACTTGTGGCCATAGGTGAGGGTAGGAACGTAGAACGACCGGTAAATCAAGAGCTTCACCTTCTGGGTCAGCTCTCTCTTCACCACGACAGACCGGTACAAGACCCGCATCACTGCAGATGCAGCATCAATCCGCCTATCGATCTCACGCTCCACCTTTCCCTCACTCGAGAACAAGACCCCGAGATACTTAAACTCCTCCACTTGAGGCAGGACCTCATCCCTGACCTGGAGAAGGCATTCTACCCTTTTCTGATTCAAGACCATGTCTCTGATTTAGAGGAACTGATTGTTATCCCAGCTGCTTCACACTCGGCTGCGAACTGCTCCAGTGAAAGCTGCAGATCATGTTCTGATGAAGCCAACAGGACCACATCATCTGCAAAAAGCAGAAACCCGATCCTCAGGCCACCAGAACAGATCCCCTCAACACCTTGGCTGCGCCTAGAAATCCTGTCCATAAAAGTTATGAACAGAATCGATGATAAAGGGCAGCCTTGGTGGAGTCCAACTCTCAACAGAAACAAGCTCGACTTACTGTAGCGTAGCTCAAGGCGTGTTTTTCACCAAAATGACCGGAGGTTAATTTTCTTCATAAAGGGCAGGCCAATCTGACACTGGAGGTGTCGATATGAGCATCTATGAAGTTGGACAGTATCTTTAACTCATCCATAACTTATCGTGTTGCCATATCACAAGACACCAAGGCGCCTGTGAAGACACAAGTCTCTTTGATCAAATCCTTTTTAATAAAGTTATCTTTTATGGCTCATAAAATGATTTTCTACTTTTACAGGTTGTTACAATAATATTCTGTGATACCGACAATATGTTTAAATCTAAAGTGTTTTAATAATGTTGAATGCACTAAAGTAATGAATGATGGGTTAACATGAATATTTATTCCTATAATGATTTATTCCAGATCTTAAATTACGGTACACCAGATTAGTCTATTTGTTGGATTTAGTAATGATTTGTTTATCAGTATATTCACACATTAATAACATTATTATGAATGTTTCACATATTTACTTCACATTAATGTTTAATAAGATTTACTCCACATTAGGTGAAATAACCTCTCTAAGTGTCTGAGGTGTTTGTTTGATAATGTCCACTTTAACTTGTCAAATGCTGATTTGTCCAAATTGATGAACAATGGTTAATAAAAGAGTTCACTTCCTGAACAAGCCGGTTCTAGCCTGCTGCGCTGTTTGGCTGACTGAGTAAGCAAAGCATAATGAACCATCCTCTTTTTGACCTCAAGGTGAAACCTTCTTTGCAAACTGCATCAGATGCTAAATAGATCCTCCAGCAGTCACCTGGAAGGTATCTCAGGCTAGACGGTTGTATTTGGGGTAGAGCTACGTGCTCCAAATACCACAGAAGTCAACGGCACCGGCAGTCTTCTCCAGACCCTGGTACCCCATACCCCTAGAGTGCTCCCTACAGGGACCCTCGGGGGACGCAATCAAACACTTTCTCCAAATTCACCAAACACATGTAGATTGGTTGGTTGGGCGAGATCCCACGCAATCTCTGGGACCCTTCTAAGGGTATAGAGCTGGTCCAGTGTTCCACAGCCAGGACGAAAACCACATTGCTTCTCCTGAGTCTGAGGTTCGACAATCCGATGGACCCTCCTCTCCAGAACCCCTGAATAGACCTTACCAGGGAGGCTCAGGAGTGTGATCCCCTTGTAGTTGGAACACACCCTGCGGTTTTAAATAGGGGGTCCACCATCCCGGTCTGCCAATCCAGTGGAACTGCCCCGATGTCCATGCGATACTGCAGAGCTGCATCAACCAACACAGCCCCACAACATCCACAGCTTTAAGGAACTCTGGGTGGATCTCGTCCACCCCTGGGCCTTGCCACTGAGGAGCGTTTTGGCCACCTTGGTGACCTCGGCCCCCGAGAATGGAGAGTCCAACCCCAAAGTCCCCAGACTCTGCTTCCATGACAGGCACCGACAACCCTGCGGCCGCAGCTGTTCTTATATTTAGGAACATTTCAACGCACTCGTACAAGTAGGTAAATACCACACAATGTGTGAAATCACTTGCATGAAATTTGTGTAAATCTGTGCGTAAGTAGGGTTGATGGATGAGGGCCCCTTCAATGGTTCTGTTTGTGTCAAAAAGCCCTAAAATGTTCTGAAGAAAAATTTACACTTTTCCAGTTAGAAGACGACATTGTGGCAAAGGCTGGATATTACAGCGACATGAAGACCTTCACCACCCAAACGGCTTCAGACGAATGGCTGTACCTGGAATTCTCCCAACTCGGATTCATAGGTGTGCTTGGTAGATCCTGCTTGGTTTGGTTTTCAGTCTGCTGTCTTCAGCTGGTAAATGTGTGTGTTTGTGTGTTTGCCAGGCAAAATGTTCAAGACTCATGACCTGCCAATGATTGCAGAGTTCTTCCTAATGTTCCACAAAGACAAACCCATTGACTGGTTGTTGGACCACCTTCTGTGGGTGAAGGTTTGCAACCCTGAGAAAGATAACGTAAGTCGGCTGCACCCACAGTAGGAAAAAAAGTCTAAACGCACAAAAATGCATTTTAGTTTGTTCACATTTGCATGCTTAATTTTTGGTGCTTTAAATTTATTTTAAAAAAGAGAGATCCATCAGTCTAAACAATTAAAATACTGTTTAAATTTATTCTGATAACTACATCCATGCTTTAGTACTCTTCTGTTGTTTCTAAAGGTAATAAAGTGTGTGAATATTTTTGATTGGTCTTGTACGTAGTGAAAGTAAAAAATGGGCTGATACACCTACGGACCAGATCGGTGGAAAGGAGGCAGATGTTTTTTTTATGCTGGTTGTGTTGGTGGTCCATGTACAGCTGGAGGTCATGTGCGGGGGCTAGTATTTAGCCATTTTCAACATCTCTGTGGCTTTTTCTTTGCCCTGTCAGTACTCTGGTTGTTTGTCATCCACCAGTTAGAAGCTCCTATGTCGCCCTCCAATAAGTGTGCTGGAAAACTGGCGTAATATTACTGCAACGGTGTGTCTTACAAAAGCGCCATGCCGGCATGGCATTGCGTCAGTTTTGCGCCATTCGTTCCGCCTCACTTGGAAGTAATATTGCGGTAATGGTCTGTCTTATAAACAGCTATTGCGCCATGACGCAGCAGAGGGATTAAAGATTAAAGTCCCGTCAGTTGTCACACACACACTGATGTGTGTGCAAAATATGTTCTCCGCATTTGACCCATCTCCTGGGGGAGCAGTGAGCTGCAGACACGGCCGCGCTCAGGAACCATTTGGTGGTTTAACCCTCCAATCCAACCCCTTAATGCTGCGTGTCAAGCAGGGAGGCAATGGGTCCCATTTTTACAAAGTTCTTGGTATGACCCGACCAGGAATCGAGCCCTGATCTCCCAGTCGCAGGGTGGACACTCTACCACTAGGCCACTGAGCTGATGCCATGATGACATGGGGAGTTAATGCCGAGCTCCGGTCGGCAAATATATTGAAAATGAAAGTAAACACAGGCAGTAAGTTTTGCTTTTTGAACAAAATCGGCTGAGACGGCAAACTGGAGCGCCGCTGCGATCCGTGAGCGTCTCTCTGTTAGAGTTGAAGCTCAGATCATCAGAGACTGCACAGGGACTGATGGGGACAGACGCCTTTAGGAGCGGCTTGTTAAAAAAAAACCTAATGATCGCGGCTTTAATCGGAATAAAAACAAGTTATGTCCAAGGTAAACGGAAGTCCACGGCATCACAGAGACCGCCACCATCACCTAATCTTTTATAAAAAGGACACGATTGCGCCACATTACCGCCATGGTCTGACCACTTCTAAATGACCTAAGGCTCCCTGATGCCGCCACGGCGTTGTTAAGGGTTGTTGTTGTCATCTAAGAACTTAACATTACCAGCAGGAGGTCTTGCGGAACAATCATGTATGGGTGGGTGGAGGAAAGGGGTATATGGGGAAACTCCCTAGCCAAGTGAACTAGACCAAATTCCTGCTTTGCAAAGCTCCATTGGAATCTCCACAGCCCCTAGCAGCAGTCTGGCTGGCCAATCACTGCTCTCTATAGGGGTTTCAAACTGATAGAGCACTTCCTTTAACACTGTGGGCCAATTACAGCGCTCTATCCGCTTTGTAAGCAAATCAGGGCCCTCTATTTGTCTGGTGGGCGGGAGTGGAACAAGATGGTGACAGTTTGTTTGAAATGGCTTTTACATCAATTTTGGACAATTTGGACTTAGGCTTTATTAGAATAAGGAGCAGATAGATGGATTTAAGTCCTTTATTTAGAAAAAGGTTGTATTTTCAACAACAGACCGCCTCGTTTACCAGCATGTGTTGCGGTGAGTACGTCACTTTGTTCATTCTGCAGTAGCATGCAGAGATCGTTTGAAAGACAACGGTAGAACAAGCCCCACGACCGAGAGCCGTCAATGGAACGTTCCAGACTAAATAATACATTTATTTAGTCTGACTTGCCAAGCTAGAAACTCCATGCATCTTCACATATTGGGGCCAGTCCATCAGGAAGTGCAAAAAGCACTTTCACATGGTTAGTTGGGGTCTGACAGCAGGAGTCTGTGTGATGAGTGCCTGAGGGATGATGGTGAACTGAAATCCAGAAAGATCAGTCTGACACGAGTGCAGGACTCCAGGTGAGAAAGAGGTTAGATGACATCAGATAAAGACTGGTTCTTCCTGTTGGGTCACAGTGATTCACCTTGGTCTTCAGCCAGCTGTTCCAGTTGTTTCATGACAAATGTTCCATTTGATGTAACTCATTTTGCATTTGAGGTGGAGAGGAAAGTGCAGAAGCATTGAAAGCTTGTAAGCATCAGGACAACTAAGAAGTGCAATTGCAGAATTTCAAGTTCAACTTTATTTATAAAGCGCTGTACGCCAATAAAAACACAGCATTAAAGTCAGACATACATAAAACCATTAAAATGCCATAAAAATCCCCAAGTACAGTTACAGCAACCCAAACCAGAAGTGGAATGCAGCCAGTTTCAAAACAGCTGTTCCTGCCCCTGCACATCTGTATAAATGTCTGGCATGAGATGGGTGTACTGAGGTGACAACCACCAGACAATGAAAGTGTGTGTGCGTGTGATGGACTTACACAGTCTCCTAACATTTCATTAGTGACATCTTTTCCAGCCTTGTGCTCGTATGCAGGTCTTTAACCATCTCACTCTGTGTGAGTGACAATCTCATTTTGTTCCCATGTCAATACCCCTGACCAGAAGTCTCCAACATTTCATTTCCCTGAGATATTTATATAACTGTAATTTTTTGTGCTTTTATTTTTCACAAATGTTTGTTTGGTCTCATGCAGAAAGACTGTGAGCAACAGAAAAACCGGCTGAAGCAGAGATACAAACCGTCTCTCTTCCAGCATGTTGGCCTTCACTCCTCCCTGCCTGGAAAAGTTCAGCACTTGAAGGTAGGAGTTTTTAGCCCTCTAACCATCTCTGTGAAGCTCATATGAAGAAGAGGTTTACTGAGAAATGTATCATTCATGTGCATGTTAAACATGAAAATAGTGTTCTATCCCTATTTCCTGTATTAGCTGCTAGGATGCAATGATACAATTTTTTCCCAGACTAATACGATAAAGATACTTGGATCTGAGTACTCGCAGATACTGATTACCAATACCGATACTTCTACCACACAGAAAAATGCTATGAATTGGAATACAGGTTATATTTTCTAGTCTGCTTTCAACAGAAAAATACTGAGTTAGATAAAAGTAAAATATATGAATAGAAATGATTACAAAACTAAAATATTAGGTGAACACAAATTACAAGTTACAGTGAAGCCACTTTCAAGCAACTGCATTGGTATCGTTTAACTTTTACCGATACCAGTATCTGTATTGGTGCATCCCTATTAGCTGGGTCAATATATAATTGCAGGAGTTTTCATGTTTATCAGATTTATCTTGCAAACATGTTTATTAAAATAAAAATTTAAAAGTCCTCTATGTTCGTGATGATCTTATCTTTACAAATGCCGTAGTTACTTCTTATGGAAGTAATAATTTATTTATAAAAAATGACTAGATATCCCTAAAATGTCAACTAAATAACCGTCCGAAATGACTTACAATCACCATCTCATTTGCTAAACAATAATTTAAAATACTTATTCAAAAACAGTTTTAATTGTATTCTTTACATTAAGCTGAGGTGATTATGACATATATGTTTTTGGGGGGCAATATGTCACATTTTAAATAGAAATTAACAAATTGAATTTGTGTCTGAGAAGTCACTGTCATCTAAGTTACCCATAGCCAATACACCCGTCAAGGAAGAGTGTTTACTCCAAATCACATGACCTGCTCCACATGATGTCATTTCCTCTCCACTTCTTCAGTTACTTCACCTAAAGTAGTGCTTGGGGCAAGTGTGTACTTATGTCATATGTCAACAATGTTAATACAATGACTAGTTAAATAATTTTAAATTTTAATTTTACTCAGTTGTATATATAATATTTAGAAGAATCTCTCTGTAAAAATGCCATGTGGTGTCTAGTGCTAGGCAGCCATTTTGATTTTAACCCTGAAAACAACAAAAATGTCAACTATGTTGCCCTGCAAAGGCGACTTAGTTGACCAAGAGTAACATAGTTGACATTCATGACATGTTCTTGTAGTTTTCAGAAGTTCATTTAATATTCTAACTGTACATTAACTACAAAGTACTGTGCAATAAATATTATAAATGTGAACTTGGTTTTTCAGGCAAATGCCACGATTATCTGCTGCAGAAAAGCAGCATCGTTACCGTGCACGGCGAGATGCCGATCCTGCAAAAAGGAGGCATACTTGGCAAAAGGCCGGCAGGAATGGAGAGACATGAGGGAGAAAGGTGCATACTATAAGCCCATATCTGAACAGAGTGAGAGAGAAAAACATGCAAAGAGAAAGGTCTGGAGAAGAGCTCAGGAGCAGAGCAGACGCTGAAAGAAACAGGCTTCTGCTATAGTTACCCCACCTCTGAGTCCTGACAGTGAGGAGCAACCAGTTCCACAACCAGGAAGGTTAGAAGGTTATGTACCTCAAACAGAACTATGTAGGTAGGCTATGTAGAAAGTATATGAAACAGATATGTCATGAAAAATTACTAGATGAATTAAAATGTTAGATTAAAATGCAAATCTCCATGGTGATAATTCATTTCTAATGCTAAAAGTGTCAGCTGCAATGTTCGAAAACAATTTTAAAATGTCTACATGTAATTTCAGACAGAGAATACAAGGAAGAAGGACAATAAGAAGACAGTACAAGAACATATACATTGAGAATCAGAAACTCAAGGAAAAGCTTAAGCTCAAACAAAAACATCAGACAAATATCGTAAGCGCTATGAACGGCTACTGTGCAGTGTCGACTCTCCTAGGAAAAGAACGACAAGGATGCTTGGAACAAGTTCAGTCAGTAATGATGTGCGGATAACTCTGGTCTACCATCATGCACTTGTGAAAAGCCTCAAACAAAAATGTCAGTGTGCAGCAAAAGAAAATACCAGGAACCTAATCGCCAGAATCGTATCTGGAAAAATATTGACAAAATACAGGCTCCAGAAAATCATTCATGAGACAATGGGTGTCTCAGTCAAACGGTTCTGCAAGAATGTGAACACAAATATGGACAAAATAGCCTGTTTTACCAGGAAGAAATATAAATCCACACACTCAAAACTGCATGACCAGCTTGTTGCCTTTTACACCAGGCAACGTAAGCCGTTTAACAGCAGGTCAAAAACAGACTGTAACAAAGGGAAAAGTTAAAAAGCAGAAGCGGCTTATGACTGGCATCATGAAAAACCTCCATCGGAAATTCCTGCTGGAAAATCCCTCTAGCAAACTGTCCTACACACTCTTCTTTGCAGAGCAAAGCTGCCCTCCTGGTGGGAGGGTAAGTCTGAAGTGCCTTTTTTTTCCTCCACCTGAACCAACCCTCATGTAATCCTCTTATCTCTATTAAGGTAGCGTGACTCATGGTTGCGAATGACCACAGTCACCAATTCTTGTCATGTGTCTTGCCCATGTATGTCTGATCTCTGAATTGCGTGTACTCTAATTTCCCTCTGGGATTAATAAAGTATCTTTGATTCTGCCGAATGCGCCCATACTGGGTAGTCCATCCAACCATTGCAGACAGAGATACATGTCTTTGTAAGGTGCATGAAAACTTGGAATTTATTGTGGAGAAACTTCATGGACAAACTTCTGAAGAGAGCAGAGTTGGAGTCTCTTGCGGAGTAAACTTGCTGTAATCCAACATTTAAGCCATGCATGTATGCAGAATGCAAGAACTGCAAACTACAAGACCTCAAGATTCAGTCTGGCTATGATGGTCAAAGCCAAGTTTCTTGTGTGCAGTGGACAACCGAAACAGTCCTCTGAGAGAAGAAAAGTGGCAACAGCAAGGAAAAGGTGCCTGTGAATATAACTGTGAAGAGGGAAATGGAGAGTTCTTTGGAGGACCTGATTGAGACTTTCCATAAACAGCTCAAAAACTTCAAAAGGCACTTGTTCAACATCAAGACCCAGTTTAACTATTACTGGGAATTGAAAAAGAACATGAAGAGTAATGAATGCCTTATACACATTGATTTCTCAGAAAACTACTCTTGCAAGTTTCACAAAGAGATTCAAGCTGTCCACTTTGCCTCTTCTCATCAACAAGCAACTCTTCATACAGGGGTTCTCTATGTTGGTGGGGATGAAGACCACTTGTACTTCACAACAATTTCGCCATGCAAAGAAACAGGTCCACCTGCCATATGGGCACACCTTTCCCCAGTCCTTAACCGTCTGAAAGAAACATACCCAACGGTGTCAATTATCCACTTTTTCAGCAATGGTCCCTGCTCACAATACAGGCAGAAGGGCAACTTTTACATGTTGACAACTGAATTGTACAACCAGAGCTTCACTGCTGGCACTTGGAACTTTTTTGAGGTCAGCCACGGAAAGGGTGCCCCTGATGGGGTTTGAGGCCTTCTGAAGAGAACAGCTGACAGATTGGTGAGCCAAGGTGAAGACATTTCCACTGCTAAACATCTTTTCAATGCATTGACAAATGCCAATACAGCTGTCAAGATCTTCTACATTGAAGAGGCTACAGTGGAAAAGGCCATACAGCAGATGCCACAATGACTCCCCGCTGTACCTTGCACTATGTGGATTCACCAGGTTATACAGGGTATCTGCAGGTTTAAGGGAGCCAAATTTAAGACTTTTTAAGACATTTTTTAAGGCCACTTTGACCAAATTTAAGCTATTTAAAAAATTTTATTTTCTGCTATAATTTCCAGCTATTGCCTGGAACCGGTGCTAACCACGTCGCGAACATGGGATTAACCATCCATTTACCATTAAACTTGCACTTCCCCATGGCGCAAGCTCCCACTAGCTTAACCAGCTAATGTGCTCATCTAAAAATATCCCCCTTTCACAACCAACTGAATGTGTACGGTTCCGCTTACGCCAACATCGTACACAAAAAATGCTGAACACTAACTAGAAATTCACGAAAATGTCATAGAAATAAAATAATCTAGTTTATCGGGTCTTTGGTAATTTAAGACCTTTGGAAACAGTATTTAAGTATTATTTGTCATTTTTAAGGATTTTCAAGGCCTTAAATTTGGAAAAGTAAATTTAAGACTTTTTAAGGACCCGCAGATATCCTGTTATAACAAAAGCACCAGGGAAACTGACATACCGTGATGTGAGCTGCCTGTGCTCAACAAAGCAGATTCTGCAATGTCACTGTTACCAACCTCAGGCCTTCGACTTCAAAGTCAACTCTGCTGTTTCTCCATTGCACCAAAAGCAACCAGACCTTAAAGTACAGTGGGATGACACTGTTGGTCAGTGGTGTGTCATCAGATATGATGATGAGGTTTACCCTGGAACCATTCTTGAAATGAGTGAGACACATATTTATGTCAAGTGCATGCACAGAGTGGGACACAATCGTTACTACTGGCCAATGCGAGAGCATGCACTCTGGTATCCATTTGAGGATGTGCTCAGGTTGATTCCTGCCCCACAGCACGTGACAGCACGTCATGTTGAAATAAGAAATGTGTGGGAAAATATTGCCAAATCATATCTTCATGGCTAAGGAATGCGCGCAAATACACAGACACACACACACCCAAACAGACAAACAGGTACACATGCACACCCATACACACACACACACACACACACACACACACACACACACACACACACACACACACACACACACACACACAGACACACACACAGATACACACAGACACACACGCACACACACACGTATATAAACAGACATTAAGACACAAAGATTACTTGATTGAGCTTGATCAAGTCATTGAAAAACAAACCATAATTGGCCATGTTCTTGGGTTAGAAAACTGGGGGGGTGTTCTCTCTTCACCAGTTTTATGGGTGCCTGGAAGTCATGGGGTAATGCCAATGTTTTACTTAGATTCTGACATATGAATGTTTTTACCATATGACTGTTTGCACTATTAAAATGTTGATCACATGCAGCACACTTATTCTGTTGACCAATAGAATAAAGCACTATTTGGTTAAAGTTACTTAGTGCAGTGCAATATACATTTTTATTCAATACAATGCACTACTGTATTTCATCTCACAAACATAATTTTTAAAATGTTTACATGGTGGAATTTTTGTGTGCTATTTTGATACTTCTTTTGTTGTTTTCTATGTTATGATCTATGCACATGTTAATAAAGTTACAATTGTTCCTTGTAAACAGATGAGTCTGTATTTCTCCTTTATGTCATGATGATACCAACAGGTGTTGATTACATGCTCTAAAAGATTTGCTAACATATAATAATTGTTAGTTTAGAATTGTTTTTCTTAAATGCATCATCCTACCTTCTCATGTCCAGTCGACTATGTTACTTTTGTCAACTATGATCCTGGGCTGTCATTTAAGTTACCATAATGTTTTTTAAAATGTATGTATTTCAGTGGTTCCCTAATCTCCAAGTAAATATTTAGAAACTGAGTAGCAGTCAAATGCATACCTCAGCAAAATTTAATCAAGAGAATTATCATGGATCTAAGCAGTTTGGGGACAACATATAAAGACTGTTTACTTCATCACTTGAAATGTAGGGTTTCAATAGAACAAAATGTGTATTTTCATAATTAACTGGGGATTTTTATTGAAAAGGTAGGTAAATAGACACATATTCTTCCAAGAGTAATGATTTTTTTAAAATGTATGACATTTAATAAAAGTTAAAACTTATAGGTTTTGTCCGTAACATAGTTGACAAAATAATGAGTAAACATCTCGTTTTTAAAACTAAATTTCTGAAATCAATTATGCCTGAGCTTGGCAATGACTAAAAACAAAATATTTCAGAGATGCTTTATCAGGAAAAATAATGTTTTGTAAATAAAGATGTTTTTTTCCAGAATTTTTCTAACTCAAAATCTCCCAAAATTATATATTGACCCAGCCGCTGAAAGAAAATATACTGGAAGTAGGTCAGAAAAAGCTACACAGATCTACGTAAATTGGCATTAATCGATTCGTCCATCATGGTGCATGATGAGAAAGGATTTAGTGACCAGAAGAGAGCAGAGTGCGTCTAGAAGCTAACCGTTAGCATTAGCAACTCCGCAACATGGCAGAACACCTTTTTTACTCTAAGAACAGGGAATGGAAGCAGCAGAAAAGTCGCACTGCATTTGACCAACCAGAGGAGAAATGTTTACAAATCATGGATGAAGACTCCAAATCTTGCTGTTTGCTACCTGTCAATCAAATCAAATTCTTCATAATTTCAAGCATTTAATTACACCTAAATGGAAGAGTTACAAAAAAATGCATCCCCCTCATATTTTTCATGAATGTGAACTAGATCTATTAAACTAAAATAGTTTTTCAAACTAGGCTGTAAACATGATTATTTCTGCTGTGACATTGGCATTTTTAACAAGGGAGTCAAGAAGGATTTGCTCACTTCTGATGCCAGCCCCTAGTGGATGAGGGTGGAACTGCAATTTTTGACACTTTTTGTTGGCTTCAGGTTCAATTCAAGTTTATCTATATAGCGCCAAATCATGACAACAGTCGTCTCAAGGCACTTCACATAATAAAATATTCCAGTACAGGTCAGTTCATTAAGCCAATCAGAAAAATGCTTCCTATATAAGGAACCCAGCAAATTGCATCAAGTCACTGACTAGTGTCAGTCTTTACAACAATCCTCATACTAAGAAAGCATTTAGCGACAGTGGAGAGGAAAACTCCCTTTTAACAAGAAACCTCCAGAGGATCCTGGCTCAGTATAAGCAGCCATCCACCAAGACTCACTGGGGATCGAGAAGACCGAGCAGACACACACACGCACACACACACACACACACACACACACACACACACACACACACACACACACACACACACACACACACACACACACACACACACACACACACACACACACAGACAAAGACAAGTAGTGTTTCCATGGTTACATTGTGATGTCTTAGTAAATATTCTATTTGTGAGGGATAAACTTTATTGTATTTATCCTAGTGAATCTATTGACCCTTTGCACCTACGTCACCTAATCACCTGGGTTCGCCATACTGGATGGCAAAAGCATGTAAACAGTGAGCGACATGAGCAATAAACAAAGGAAAAAGTAAAGCCTGAAATTGATTTTTGCGATCTTTAGCATTCTCTCTACTAGTTCAAGCCCATGTTCAGTTATCAGAGGAAGTAGCGCACCTAGATGGGGCTCATAGAGAGCGGTATTTACAAAAGTTAAGCGTTATTAACTAGCTTACGAACGTTAGCTTAAATTCTCTCTGCAGCTGTTCACCCATGTAAACAAGCTGCCTACTTTGCCTAAATTCACCCGACTGGATTTATAACATTGTTATAAACAGCGTTTCACTTTACACCGAAGCTGATTAAAACAAATGTCCGGATCCCTACTAGTTTTTGTTGCTGGTGGTGTCACCGCGTGTTCAGCTGCTGCTCTCACATCAGGATGAGACAAGATCTCTCTTAACGGCGACGCTCATACCAAATAACGTAATTTTAACACACCTAATCATACATTGGAGCAACATTGTAATTAATTATCTCACATTTCACTGCAGTGGACAGTACCGCACGTCCTCCATGGTGGAATATCCATCCATCAGAAGAACACATCACATTTGTACCTGTCCCTGTCTTCGTCATGAAATAAGTCAATGTTAATCTTACCTGCTAAAAACACATTCGCTGTAAACCTGAGGGCTGCTAGTCCATTTGATTGATTGCTGCAGTTCATATCCATCCTCAGTCTTGATCGTTATTTGAAAAAAAATAAAAATAAATGAACGAGTTGACTTTACATCCTTGTCTGTTAGTGCAGCCAGCCACATAGCAAGTTGTTACCATTTTGCTGTGAAACCAACTAAATAAAAGCGATAAAAGACTACAAACGGGCTTGTTTTGACTAGCTTCACCAGAGTTTCTACGTGTGTAAACGGTCTTTTTGCCGTCCATCATGGCAAACGGGGCGGTCCCATGAAGGGCGTGATGTCAGGTGCATAGGGTCAATAATTAAACAGGTAAACTAGTAGTAGCAGATTCGATGTCAAAGAAAGTAAAATGTTATTATCAGGAGAGGAAGAATGTTTAAGGGGTTAGCAGCAGTGTTCAAGCTGGTGGCCCCCTCCATGAGGCCACCACAGCTCAGCAGAATATCATTGTAGCTTCTTCTGGGGAAAAAAACACTTAGAGAAAAATAAAGTTAACAGCTGAAATAGCAGGAAATAATAGTTAAAGAGCAGATTGTAGAAGAAAGTAGCGGAAAGTGGTCAGTACGTCCTCCAGCAGTCTAAGCCTATAGCAGCATAACTACAGAGATAACTCTGGATAACCTAGCCTTTTAGATGGAGGCATGATGGAGGCAGGGCAAGGGAGAGCCGTCTTTACCGACTGTACACTCCACCTCCCTCTACTCCCCCACTTGTCCAGATTCAATTCAATTCAAGTTTATTTATATAGCGCCAAATCACGACAAGAGTCGTCTCAAGGCACTTCACATAATAAACATTCCAATTCAGGTCAGTTCATTAAGCCAATCAGAAATAAAGTTTCCTATATAAGGAACCCAGCAAATTGCATCAAGTCACTGACTGATCTGGGCTAACATCAGATTTTAACCATAGGCCCTATCAAATAAAAATGTTTTAAGTTTAGTCTTAAAAGTAGACAAGGTGTCTGCCTCACGGAAGAGAGGAGCCTGATAGCTAAAAGATCTGCCTCCCATTCATTTTTTTTTTTAGATATTCTGGGAACCACCAGTAAACCTGCAGTCTGAGAGTGAAGTGCTCGGTTAGGAACGTATGGAACAATCAGGTCACTGATATATGATGGTTCGGGGTTGCGGGTTCCCCCTTGCTCCCAACCTGTTGATACCTGCTACCAGTTCTAGATGTAGCTTATTTTCAAGTTGTTCATTTGACAAACGAAGTGTGTGTGTGTGTGTTGCTCCCCTTTAGGACAAGGACTTTGACAAACAACCATTGTTCCGGCCCCACCAAAACCCTCCAGCCGAGCTGAGCAGTAGCCTGAAGCATTACCAGCAGCACAGCCTCAGCAGACTTTACCAGGGAGAAGACTTCCTGTGGGCGTTAACTCCAGTCAAAGGAGACTACATCCTCTTCGTCTTCCACCAACCCATCCATGTCAAAGGGTAGCTAGCTTGTCTTTGTTAGCTGCATGTGTCTGTGCTGCTACCCTGGATATGAGTGAGTGATGCATCGGTTTCTAGAGCGACGGTGGCAGAAGAGTCAATTGCCCGCCCCGTAACCGGAGGGTTGCAGGTTTGAATCCTGCACAGTGTGTCACATTTCTCCTCGCCTCGTGGTTGGAGGGACCGGTGGTGCCTGTGCACCAACGTAGCTAATCACTATCAGATTGTGAATGTGGGTTAATGGATGCATGACTGATTGAGCTGTAAAGCACCTTGGGGGGTTGTAGAACTATAGAAGGTGCCATATCAAAATTAAGCCATTGTGTGTGCGTGCATGTATGTGTGTGACCTAGAAGCCGTCTAGTTTGGAAGATCAAGAAGGTTGCATCAAATAATTGTGAACAATTAGGTCATAATAATAGAGTAGATCTAAGAGATGGGGGAGGGAGGAAGGGGGGAGAATAATTTCCTCACAAGGTTAAAGTCTCTGAACTCACTTCCACACAAACATGTTTTTTTCTTTCTGCGTTTGTTTGCTGTTCTGAAGAGACTCGCTGAAGCTCTTTTATGTAAGCCAGAACAGCAACACTTCACCTGGATTTGAGCTTCCCATTTGACCTATTAAGGAAGAGAAGGAATCTCTTGGTGTTACTTTGGTTTTCCATCCTGATAGAGGAGGTAGCTCTGAGTTCGGGAGACTCTACTGACCCCTGACCTCCATGGCTGTTCAGAAACAAGATCGAGCTCCGACTCTGGTATGTTCGTGTGACATATGCCCACAGATGACCTCATGATACTTTTGTATCAGGTACAAATCACCTCGCTTCCTGATTGCAGAGGCTTATGTGTGATTGCAGAGGCTTAGCTGTATGATTAGTGGAGTTGGAACGGCAGAATGAGCCAGGGCCTGACTGATTTGTAACATTTAGCTGCTTCCTGACAAGCTCTCCCAATGTAAAATCATTTCTTAGTTTAATGGAAAACCTGCAGGTTTGTGAATAAAACAATGACCGAGATGGCCAGGTTTTCTTGGTTTGGCTAATTCAACATCTGCGAGCGCGCACACACATTTATGTGCACGCGCACACGCACGCACACACACACACACACACACTAAAACTGGAAATGAAGTTTACACTTATTTAGCAGACAAAACATTTTTTGTTTTTCAAAAAGTTTTCAAATTGGAGTCCATCTAATGGAGATCTGGTGTGCTTTGTGCAGGTTTTAGACTGGATGTTTTCTGAGTTCTGACCCGGTTCTGACCCAGTCTTGTTCTTCAACCTCAGGTTCCTGTTTCGTACTGGAAACATCAAGACAAATGGAGATAAACTCTACAATGCTACAGTGGAAGTGCTGCCCAGCAATGTGAGTAACTTGTGTGTGTGTGTGTGCGAGAGAGAGAGAGTGGGGGGTGGGGCCTCGTTAGCGTAGCATGCTAATAACAGCAAATCTTATTCATAAAGTCTAAATTTCATCACCAGCATGGTGCACTTTTGCAAAATACACTCTCAGACCCAGTCCCGCTGCAGCCTACAGTAAGTAAGGCTTTGAGTGTGTAGTAAACAAGTGTGCATAGTTGGGGCATTTGAACATTACGTCATCGACCTGCTGCACTGCGTTGTATCTCCTCCAACTGTGTATACTTGAGCTAATTTGCTGCTCACACCGCTGGACGGGAATGCACAATTGAGGGTTGCAGAGGTAGAAGTGTGGGTATTTGGATTGGGCCTCCCAGATCTCTCATGGTTGATGAGACGGGCTTGTATGTGGCGGTGTGTGCTCTCATCAGCATTGCGATGCCAAATTGCTAGCATGTAGCAGGCACATCACAGTCATCAAGACTCCCCTTCCTCTTCACATCACCTGTAGAGCTGAATGTGGGTACCTCATACCCTGTCTCCAGTTGCTCAAGAAGGCATTTGCAACCACAGACAGTCAATGCAATAAATACTGGTATCTTGGCTTTGATCTTTTCCCTGTCTGTAGGTAATTTAGCTTTATTTTTTTTTACTTATCTTTCAGTGTAGGCTGGCTCTGTGTTTTTGTCTGAGTTGCTGCAGTGACCTAGGGGTGTTGAGCAGGATGTCTTTTGTTAAGGTGAACTAGGACTAAATGGAGATGGGTGATTTACTGTAGTGAAAAGCCTCAGGATAATGAAGTGTTCTTTAGGTGGCATATCAGATTGGAAGTGTGGAATGCAGCTTTGTCTTTTCCACTACGCAAAATTCCCAATATGCTCACATTACAAGTGGCTGTTGCACTGCCATCACTGTCGGGTTATGATCACACTGCAGACATTTTTGCTCTCCTAAGGCGACACGTTAGCTCTGCATTAGCCTGCTAGCAGACAGCTACATGTTATGGTGTCTGAATTCCCTGCCTGCCATACATTTTGTGACATTAGTGTTTTTGTCCATGCAGCAGTGAGTATTGATGTAGAGGGACTTGTTCAAATGAGGTCATTTTCAATTCAGAGGTCTTGCTTGTTGATTGCATAATCAGAAGGTTTTATTGCCATGTGTGCGAGACTCACAACATTAGGGATTGCTGCGGTACTTGGTGCAAGAAAAACTAAATGATAAGCAAAATTAGAATTAAGAAATAAACAATGAAATGTTAATAATACAGGGAGGCAATAATTAGAGAGGCAACTACTTTATACAAGTCTGTGTAGGTACTGGTCAGAGCGGGTCAGTTCAGGTGCAAACACAGCATTAGGGTCATGTGACTAGAACAAAGAAACTGGAGTGGGCAGGTCTACGATTGTTTATGGGTCCGACCGCAGAGGGGAAGAAACTGTTTTTGTGGTGAGAGGTTCTGGTTCGAATGGATCGGAGCCTCCTGCCAGATGGGAGTGAGTCAAAGAGACTGTGTCCAGGGTGAGACGGGTCAGCTGTGATCAGACCTGCACGCCTCAGCGTCCTGGAAGTGTACAGGTCCTGTATGGAGGGGAGTTTGAAGCCAATGACCTTCTCAGCAGAGCGCACAACACGCTGCAGCCTTTTAAGGTTTTATAACGTTAATCTGATCTGTTTCACCTGATTCCAATCATTTGTAAATGTATACAATAGGGATACTCTGATCTGATTGCGTGATCGGATCAGCATCCCTATTGTAAATACCTGATTTTATTTCACATCAGCAAGGGCAGTGCCCCTATGGAAGAGCTGTCACTGGTGTGTGTGGGATTGTGTTATCCAGTCCCTCTACTTCCTGGTGTTGTGCAGGTTTTGGTTTCAGTTCTGTAGAGGTGTTCTAAGGAACAAACAACAGATTACACACTCCACCTCCTTCTGTGTGTGTGTGTGTGTGTGTGTGTGTGTGTGTGTGTGTGTGTGTGTGTGTGTGTGTGTAACAACGATAGATGTGTATGTATTGCAGGTGCAGAAGGTGAGTGATGACCTTTGGGGGTCTCTGCTTCACATCAGACTGGATCAGGATTTAACTAAAACTTGCAAAACAGATTCAAATATGACACAAGGCAGAAGCAAGTCCTCGTGAAGCTGTGGTGTTTCTGACATACTCGCAAAAACACACTTAATTATGGTTGTTGGACAGGGACACAGGAAGACACAAACCTAGGACATCCAGAAAAATGAACAAAGGGACACAGATAAACTTGAGACATAAGGACATGTAGACATTGAGGAATGTGCTACTTTTTGACTGAGGAGAGCAAAGTTCCTGAACCAAGTTTGAGTCCATCAGCTGGTCTTAGCAGTTGAGCAGGTGAGTCGTGTGACTGGAGTGAAAGAAGGATAAACGCCCCAGCAGCACCTGAAACACAGAAAGAAAACATTCAGTGGGTACAGAAAGTTTTCAGACCCTCGTCGATTTTTCACCCTGTTATATTGCAGCCATATACTAAAGTCCACAAAATTCTTTTTTTCCTCATTAACGTACCATGTTGGCAGATAAACAGAGTTTTAGAAATGTATGCAGAGTTATTTAAAAAGACAAACTTAAATATCACATGGTCCCAGTGCTTAACTTGTAAATAAAACGTTACCGGAACACAAATAGTGACGTGAGACCCGGGTTCACTGAGGCCAACACTGACGCCGGAAAGGAGACAAAACCTTTGGTACTGACCAAGGTCTGAGCCCCGGCAAACTCAACAAGAATAAATCGTAAAGCAGTAGAATCTGTTATCAGATCAGCTATCAAAAACTGATCTGCAAAGTCCAATAAGTAAAATAAGTGAAACCCTTACGCGCCCCCTCTTGATTGCGGCTAGCTGTGAGGTCCTCCTCCCTGTGCACACGTCCTGGTGGCTAGCTTGACACTCACCCACACCACTCACATTTGTTCTCCAGTGCCATCATGTCCTTCAGTTCTTGGAACTGATCATTAAAAAAAGAAAGTATATTACACTGTGACATTTTGATTTCTCCAATTCTCTCAAATTGGCGGCGAAAGTTAATGGATCCTAACAAACAGTTTCCAGAACACGCCAACTGATCATCTCTGGAGAGACCTAAACATGGCTGTCCACCAACGTTCACCATCCAACCTGACAGAGCTGGCGAGGATATGCTAGGAGGAATGGCAGAGGACCCCCCAAATCCAGGCATAAGAAACTTGTTGCATCTTTACGAAGAAGGCTCGTGGCTGTTTTAGCTCTTCTAAATATTGAGCAGAGGCTTTGAATACTTAAGACCATGTGATATTTTAGTTTGTCTTTTTAAATAACTGCATACATTTCTAAAATTCAGTGTTTTCCTGTCAACATGGGGTGCTGTGTGTATGTTAATGAGACTGGACAGAAACGGAGACTCGCATCTTCTTTACTGGCTCATTCCTGTTAGGTGAGGGTGGGCTACAACCGGGCTGATGACCAGGTGTAGCCAGGGTTGGAGCTTCACAGACATAACTAATCTTAACAGCCAGTTTAGTGGATGGTGGCACGTTCTGAGTTGGTAGTGAAGTTTTACCAGTTTGGTGTGAGCTATAGTAGGTGCCTCGGCTCGCACTCATCTGTGACATTTTCTTTCAGACCACAGCAAAGACCCAGATGGTCTCTAGCTCCTCCTCAAAATACAGAGAATCAGACGACGGCTTCATCATTGTTGGTAAGTATCAGTGGCGCCTGCTCTGAAACTGCTGAACACTGTTTAGATATTCAATCATGCAGTCAGAGATTCCAGACCCAAGTTAAATCTACCTCTTTGGGGAAAATGTCCACAAGAACTCTGCATTTTCAGCTGTAATATGATACTGGTTTGCAACAGAACAGGTGTTGCATGTGGGAGGGGCTTGTTTAATCAAAGGGGAAAAAATTCAGAACCTATCCAGACATCTTAGAACTTTCATTCTTTCACGGTTTAATCATGTATTTGAATGTTCAGGCCATGCGTAGCAAACATTCTACCAACCGTATCCAAACAAAGTCAACACAGACATCCACAATCTCAAAACCAGAGCATGGTTGACCAACATCACCTGCTGAAACCTTCTCTTACTGATTTAAACAAACAAACCTTTGGTGCTCCCACTTTGTCATGATAATGGTCCCCGCCTTTAACAAACTTCCTGCTCTCTATGGTCTCCCTTGAGATTTACCTATTTAGGGATTATTATGTCCTCATGCATTGACATCACACTTGATAGTAACCTTCAGTGGATGTGTAAAAATGTTTCAAAGGATGAACAAGATGGAGAGCCCCACCGATATCTTGGGTTGGGAGAGTCAAGTTGTTGTGAATGAAAATTAATGTTTTTACAAATGCTGCCTGTATATTTGTCAAAGAAAGTTAAGGTTATTGAAAAGGACTTCTCTAAATTCATCTGGAAAGAAAAAGTCCTAGGTTGAGTATGAGAACTTTACGAAAGTTCAAAGGTGGCTTGGCTTTTTCTAACGTTGAGAAGCTGGCGTGATATCGGCTCATGCAGGACAAAGAGACAGCTTCTCAGATCTGACAAAGAGACAGCTTCTCAGTTCTCACTGCCATAATGAATAACAGGTTGTTCCCTCCTGGAGTAAAAAGTGCAATATTTAAAGTAACACAGAGTAGCTTCCTGCTCCTCCGCCCTACTGGTTGAAAGTAGAGTTACAACTATCATAAACAAACCTGCTGCAGTCTGCTGTAGCTAGCACGGGAGGCGACATCGCCTCTCCATTCATTTTCAATGAGACATGCGCTACAAAGCGATAATCGCGGGTCTCCCTCCTACCAAGCGAAACGCGAAAAACGTGAGTGTGAAATTTTGCGCTCATGCACGTGTCGTGCACGGACGACCCAGCGACGCGATCCCAGAAAGTTGAAATATTTTCAACTTTTCATCGCTGTCGCTCGGACGAGGACCAATCAACTGAGGTTTCATTCACTGACCAATGAGCAGACAGGATGCTCTGTACATCTCAGAGCAAACATGAAGGAGAAGTTGATTATTATTATGTTTTATAGTAAAATCAGAAGTAAGATTTCACATAACTCTAGCAGCACCATGTGAAACATCATATCTACCATTTTTTTAACTCTGAACCGCTTAAATAACCTTAATTCCCTCCAACCTGACACAGCCAAACAAAACAACGGAAGTTTCGATTTCGCCATGGAACAGAACGCGTAGACGGCTTTGCCGCTGCCGCGGATCGCCTCCCGTGTGTCAGGTAATAAAAGAGACAGCGACAAATTTCGCTGATCGCGGTTGTTTGTCGCCTCCCGTGTGTCGAGCCCATTACAATGAGCTAACACTAACATGAGCTAATTAATACTAAAATAAACCATGAAGTAAAAAGGTCCACACTGTTGGACAAAAATATTAATTACAAGACCAGTAGCAACAAAGCCAGGTCACAATCAGTCTGTGATTTTGTAGCCTCCTTTAGCTCTGTCAAGCTAGTGTAGGTTTTAGCTCTTTGCTTCGCCTCCAAACACATTACTCTTACTTTTACTTCCAGGCTCCACCGTGATGCCAACAGAAAAGCAAACTTCTTTTACTTCTTGCAGTGCTGCCAACTTTAGAACTGTCTCGCCCCGTGTGTGTGTGTGTGTGGGTGGGGGGGGGGGGGGATTCTTCAGTGTGAGATATTGGAGGTGTGGCATGAGTGCGTGTGAAGAGGGTCAGATGCGTTAGAGTTGGCTGTCCTGTCTTACGCTGTTTATTGACGATCGGCTAACTGAAAATGCTAACTGCTAGGTTAGCAGCTAACAGCCACAAAGCAAGTAAAGAATTCCCCCTACAGGCCACCAACCCACTCCACAAACCTATTAAGTGCGATTTAGAGAATTTAGAGATTAGAGAAACATTTTCAGAGAAAAACCAACAGTCACAGACTGATATACTGTAATTTTCTAAGTTCTTCCAATGGAATGAATAAGAGCTGAACTTAGAGGAGATAATAAGCTATCCATAGACATACAGTGGGGCAAAAAAGTATTTAGTCAGCCACCGATTGTGCAAGTTCTCCCACTTAAAATGATGACAGAGGTCAGTAATTTTCATCATAGGCACACTTCAACTGTGAGAGACAGAATGTGAAAAAAAAATCCATGAATTCACATGGCAGGATTTTTAAAGAATGTATTTGTAAATCAGGGTGGAAAATAAGTATTTGGTCACTTCAAACAAGGAAAATCTCTGGCTCTCACAGACCTGTAACGTCTTCTTTAAGAAGCTTTTCTGTCCCCCACTCGTTACCTGTATTAATGGCACCTGTTTGAACTCATTATCTGTATAAAAGACACCTGTCCACAGCCTCAAACAGTCAGACTCCAAACTCCACTATGGCCAAGACCAAAGAGCTTTCGAAGGACACCAGGAAAATATTGTAGACCTGCACCAGACTGGGAAGAGTGAATCTACAATAGGCAAGCAGCTTGGTGTGAAAAAATCAACTGTGGGAGCAATTATCAGAAAATGGAAGACATACAAGACCACTGATAATCTCCCTCGATCTGGGGCTCCACGCAAGATCTCATCCCGTGGGGTCAAAATGATCATGAGAACGGTGAGCAAGAATCCCAGAACCACACGGGGGGACCTGGTGAATGACCTGCAGAGAGCTGGGACCACAGTAACAAAGGTCACCATCAGTAACACACTACAACGGCAGGGAATCAAATCCTGCAGTGCCAGACGTGTTCCGCTGCTGAAGCCAGAGCATGTCCAGGCCCGTCTGAAGTTTGCCAGAGAGCACATGGATAATACAGCAGAGGATTGGGAGAATGCCATGTGGTCAGATGAAACCAAAGTAGAACTTTTTGGTATAAACTCAACTCGTTGTGTTTGGAGGAAGAAGAATACTGAGTTGCATCCCAAGAACACCATACCTACTGTGAAGCATGGGGGTGGGAACATCATGCTTTGGGGCTGTTTTTCTGCTAAGGGGACAGGACGACTGATCCGTGTTAAGGACAGAATGAATGGGGCCACGTATCGTGAGATTCTGAGCCAAAACCTCCTTCCATCAGTGAGAGCTTTGAAGATGAAACATGGCTGGGTCTTCCAACACGACAATGATCCCAAACACACCGCCCGGGCAACAAAGGAGTGGCTCCGTAAGAAGCATTTGAAAGTCCTGGAGTGGCCTAGCCAGTCTCCAGACCTCAACACCATAGAAGATCTGTGGAGGGAGTTGAAAGTCCGTGTTGCTCGGTGACAGCCCCAAAACATCACTGCTCTTGAGAAGATCTGCATGGAGGAATGGGCCAAAATACCAGCTACTGTGTGTGCAAACCTGGTAAAGACCTATAGTAATCGTTTGACCTCTGTTATTGCCAACAAAGGTTATGTTACAAAGTATTGAGTTGAATTTTTGTTATTGACCAAAAACTTATTTTCCACCCTGATTTACAAATAAATTCTTTAAAAATCCTGCCATGTGAATTCATGGATTTTTTTCACATTCAGTCTCTCACAGTTGAAGTGTACCTATGATGAAAATTACTGACCTCTGTCATCATTTTAAGTGGGAGAACTTGCACAATCGGTGGCTGACTAAATACTTTTTTGCCCCACTGTATGGCAGTCATTGATAAAGAGCTGAGGGTCAGGTTTTCTAGGTTAATATTTCTGTACACTGATCCACTTGTAACGTAAATACCTCAGTTATTTCTGGGTTTATTCCACTTCTATGGGTCTGCTCAGTGTTGTGGTTCTCAATGGGACTCTTTTGTTTTTCTTTTGGTTCTACTGTTGAGTTGTTTATCACGGTGCAAAAACTTAACAAAATATTATTTACAAAACTGGCAAACAAACATGGGATTAAGCTGCAGTCCTGTTAACCAAAGGCCAAATCTGTTTACCACTTAAAGTTTTACTGAGTCACAGCTACCTGTCAACAGCTGATACCTGATAGCTGTGGACGAGGTGATGGAGACGTGATCCCTTTGTCTTCCCAGTGAGGGGATACACCAGAGAATGCAGGTGTGTTTCCTAGGTGTGCTAACAGAAACTTCCTGCAGGCTGACCAGCTAACTCTGACTGATCCATTTCACCTAGAGAGGCTGCTGACTCCAATCCACTTGGAATTAATTTGTTAAGAATATTGAAGATTTAGCTTGTGCTGTCATGGTTTTCCCTAATGAGCTGCATTATAGCATGTGTCTGTAGGTGTGCTATGCAGATCTGAAGAAACTACAGCCTCTGGGGAAGGATTTTTGTCTTGTTCAAAGAGGCACCATGACCCAAGATGGAAACCAGACACTTAAGACATGAAAATCCCTGCAGCTTTCAGCAAAATTCTTCATTTTGAATTTAAAATAAGTCACCTAAGCAATCTGTGTAGATCCAAAGAGAAATGTATTGTTATATATATTGTTTAGGGTGGGTGGTATAGGGGGGTAGTCTAAACCAAAGCAGAAGTTCTGACGGAGCTGCATCCTGACAGCTCTGGTTAATCCTGATCTGGGATCCTAAGCTTGGTTTATACTTGACGCACTCACTTTCCGCTTGGTGATGCGGCTCGCGGCTGGAACGCGCTTCACAACTCGCAGCGTTTATGGTTCATGCGGCTTGTCTCTGCGGTGAGCCAATATTCTCCCAAACTGAACGGGGCAGCATGGAGCTCTACGGCATGCATCCAACACTACACCATAGTAGAAGTAGAAATAACTGTTTACAACATGGCATTTCAGCATTTTTAACAGCGTCCTCGTCTTTTCCGACAGTGCGAGCTATTTCTCTCCAAGAATTATTAACAACATGTTGATCATGGTGATCTCTGAGAGCTGAATCATACAAATGTCTGTATTTATGAACCTCTGCCATACTAGTTCTTGCCAGTCCGCCATGTTTTTCCGCGTCCGACCGTCCGCGTGGTTAGAAAATTTCCTAGGTGCGCGTTGCGGAAATTTTAGGCCATGCGGAGGCGCGGTGGAGGGGCGTGGTTGTTAAAATGACACAACTTTTCCGCACGGAGCCGTGTGGACCTCGTGGACACGTCAAGCATAAACCAACCTTAAGGAGCTCTCCAGACCCAGTAAAACATGTCTGATTACACCTGAGCCGGTGGGAGGAGCCTCTGAGCTTGCATCAGAACCTCCTCTACTGCTGTATTCTGGGAATTTACTGTACTGACATCTTTGGATAAGTTCAGAGGTCACTGATTCTGACGCTTCTGCAATAACCTTGAGTTCTGTCATTACTAATAATAAAGTCATAAACAGCAGGTCTGAATCTTTGCATGTCTCAGATGAACTTCCTTTCAGTTAGTGGAGTTCAAACCATCAGAACCTGCTGTTAGTCATGAGGGGACACCAGACAGTCTGCAGCTCGTTTAGGTTTTTATGTTAACATCAGTCAGAAAGGGAACTGGATGTTTCACCTGCATTAAGTTTGATAGGCTCAGAGGATGTCTTCATTAGGCATCGGTCCTGATGAATGACTCCAGCTGGAACTGGCATTTTTGATGGTTTGGATCTGATTTACGTTGTTAATGGGTTAGGGTTTCTAACTTTAGTTTTACTGTGCTTAAGTGTTTTATAATCAGAGGTTTTTGAGATTCTGATAAACCAAACTTTCTAAACTTGACTCGTTTTTCTTTCTTGTCAGTTGAATAAAATTTCCTTTCTGTGGACAGGGTTTGCTGATCCCGGCAGATGGATACAGATGTTTGGTTAATTTTCCACAAATGGGTTTTAAAATGATGATGATTTGTGTTGCAGGTGTGTTTGAGAATGGAGAAACTGAAGGTAGAATTGAAGAGCAGTTGCAGCCAGTCTCAGCGCTACGTTTGGTGGTTCACTCCAACTCTGACTTCTGGGCTCTGCTGAATGAGGTCTGAACTGTTTTAACACAACTTTCATTCATATAACTTTAGACTTCATTCAGACAGAGGAAATTGTACTTTCTTGTCATGTGTATGAGTGTGTGAGCTGTCAAGTCACATACGCAAATATTTATTGCAAGGGCATTCATTTCAGACGTATTAATTTAGGCACAGATTAATCAAAACATTTCATTTAGCCATACTGTCCATTCATTATATGATTATTTAGGTATTTCATTTAACCGTATTGTTCATTTCATCTCATAATTTTAACACTTCATTATTTATAACAGTTCATTATTAAAAAAGTTCATTTTTCTTGTTCTGTGAAGAAAAGCAGTCTGAGATAAGAGGAAGCTTGAGAGAGACCTTGGTCAAGCAACAGTTATCTTTCTTGCAGTTTAAAGGCTCCAGTTAAGACTTATGTCTCTATTTGACCGGATACTGAAGAGGTCAAGCTGTAGATGAAAAACTGACCATTTCTGGACGCTACACTGGGGATGCTTTTTCGGTCTGAGCTGGTGTTGTTAGGGAAACAAGAACTCAAACAATAAAATCCTAAAGTTATCCAGGGTGCAGTAATGCTTCTGCTCTGTGGCACTCCACATTTATTTTTGTGCTTTTTACCCCAGTTTCTCTTTTTTGTTGTCAGTCCTCACTTTGAAGTCCTCCTCCAACCAGAAAAGTATTTTCAGTTAGGATCAACCATGCAAGCTTCAAACACTGCAAATGACACCATCCCCACAATGAAGCATGGTGCATTCCTCCTGAAAACTACATTTTTATTAAATCATGGATTTGGTCAACTGGTCATTCAAAGCGATTGACAAGATTTTTTTCAACAATGAGAACAGAGTGGGGGGTCTCCAGCTTGTCTGGATGGAACGCACCCGGTGGAGTATATTCTGGATTCCTGGAAAGAGTGGGATATTAAATGCCTTTCCCAGCTGTCCGTGGAGGACATAGAAGATACAGGGATTTTTTATATTTACTGGATTTCTTCTAATTGGAGTGGGAGGATTTCCGTTATTTTGGAAAATTAGGAAGTCGTGGGAGATTGGAGTGCCACCTGTACCCATGGAAAGTCTCAGCTGTGTGGAGACTGCTCAGACTGGGTCGCTGCTCAAGGGGAATCGCAAGTTAGAGGTCCTAGCTGCGACCCCATTGTTAGGTCGCAAAATGGATGTGATCTTGGAGAAAGTCACTGCACAGTATGGGCAAGTTTAAACCCAAATATTGGATTTACTGAGAGACTGAATGATCAGTTAAAAACTGAAGGGCAGAGAGGAAATTATCTCTGACTGCCCCCCAAAATTTCTCCTCATCTGAATCTGGCACCCTGGTAGCCTTGAGCTGCGAGAAGAAAATTCCTCCAAGAAGGAATGCAGACAGATGCTGTGAAACCTGCCCTACCCTCTGCCTTCGGATCGGTGTTCTTCCCTCCCTCAACCTACCTCCAGCCTGCGTACAACCGGTCCCCTCCTCCCCCTCCTCCCTGTCCGGAACTTAACCTCACCAGTCTGAAGCAGCCACCTTGTCCGTGACAAGTCCGGACCTGTTACTAGGGGGCGTCGTCCGGTTTAATTACGGAAAACGTTATCCGGATGTTTGTATTCAGACACAAAGGTCTTACGGACAGAGTCCGGAACATTTCCGTTTTCATGGCCTGTCTGAAGGGGGCTCATGACAACGCCACACAAACCACGGTGGGACCCAATTTTTCCTGGTGTTCTGTCAGAACACCTAGCTTGTAGCTAAAATTAATATCAGATTCTGCCAACAAAAAGGCTCTAAAACAATTCATATGTATATGTTTTGCATACTTATTGCAAAATCTCATATTAATAATGATTATATATTGTGTTTTACTACAGTGTTGTTAAAGCTTCCGATTATTAAGAATGTGTTATTTCAGCTGTGAGATTAGTCAGTGGGATCAATGAAAAAGAATGTTTGTCACAGACTCCATGGAAACTTTCAGAGAATCCACAAAAAGTGGCTTTCAGACATTTTTGTTACTGACAGATCTGTGTGAGTTTAGAAAAAAAGCAGATGTCCAACAATTTTGTTTTTCACCTGAAACTATTAGAACATGTCAATAATGTCTGAGGTGTTTTCACAAACAATGTATACTTAATACTCCTCGATAGGGTATGAATTACACAGAGGCTTGTGGGGGAACCCAGTGACAAGGGGGGTGTTCTGTTTGGCCTTGGCCCCCAAAATGCCTTGAAACGGCCCTGGGTGTGTGACTGAGTTTTGAAGGTGATCTGAATTGTATCAGATGTATAAATATTACATGTGTATAACTTATTGCTTTATAAAACATGTCGTGGAGATAAAGCTACCTACATTTTACTTTCAAGCTTTTTTTCTTGTTTTTATTGAACTATTTCCTGTCCTGTCTGTCTCTCATCTTCCTGCATCTCCTCTAAACTCTCCAGAAAACCTGCTGCCTGGATTCTTACTTTTTCATCTCATCAGTTACTTTTGAACCAAGCAGATCAAAGGGATCTCCTGACCGCATAGCGGAGTGTGCGTTTCGATGCTGCATGAGTAAGATGGAGTCACCGCAGCACATGATGAGTGGAGTGGGTCAGGCATGATTAAAAGACAGAGTACATGAACGACCGTGTGTTAATAATGATATTTTTTTGGTTGCGCCACTTTGAGAATGGACCGTGCGCAGAACGCAGCTGCCTGAAGCACACAAACGATCAGCGCTCTGCCGCTCTCTGTGCTCTCTGCTCATAAGAACCCCCGGTACGCTGAGAGCACATATTAATGATGTAATAAAGGTGGAAACATTTTCCTCTCTCTGCTCTCCCTGGATGTGTAGGATATCCAGCTCCCCCACAATTTGATCCCTGCCCCTGGATGAAAAACCAGACATTTTCATCAAGACCCCCCCCCCCCCCCCCCCCTACTTTATACTGGTACAGTGTGTGATTTCCTGTTTAGGCCAATGTTAACTGCAGAGCTTGACACTCCTCTGAAGAGTGTAGCATCAAAAAGAGAGCACAGTGCTTTCTTTAGGATTAAGGTGCTTCTTGGAGGCACCCAAAAGTTCCATGCAATGATCTGGGGCGAATCAAACCATAGACTATAGTTACTTCCATACGAAGCAGAGATGTGCTGCTGTCTTAATGCACTCCTGGTGTGAATTGGGGGTTAGGTGGTCCCTTAGATCTACAAAGTATGTTCCCAGATGAGGATGTGGCAAGCAGCAGTTATTGAGGCAGAAGTGTTCAGACATTGGTCTCTGGTTCACCCTGGGATGGACTGCTGACCTGCAAACATCACTGATTCCCCTTTACTTGTTAACTGGCTGAAATAAAAACTGACCTTGAATATGAGTAAATAGTTGACCTGCTCGGAGAGCCTTCCCACCCATCTGGACAATTTATTGAGTAAAATCACTCAACACCTAATCCATAACAATCCAAACTCTAAAACTCTGCCTGGAAACAGCTCCATTCTAATTGGACGATGGTTATGAGTTGAATCAGGCTTTTTTTTAGTCATAATGTGGTTTGAATGACTTTTGCTCCTGTCTTCTGTGTTTCAGGTCTTTATCGAAACCTGAAGGACTTGGAGGGGCACCTGTTTGCCTCCAGCTGGATGCACAGCTCCCCCCGCTGGATGAAGACCTTTAATTCAGGACTTCTGGTTTTGTGACATATGAAGGAATTTAATCACCTGTGTCAGAAATCAGGGTAAATAAGGTTCTTCCAACAGCGGTGTCAGGCACTGACTGAACAAGCAAGGGTTAAAGGCCACCTGAGACACTCCACCTAGTGATGGCACCATTCCTGATCTGCACTGTTTCTATGTTCTATCAATAAAGAAATATATTCTGTATGACTTTGCCTCCAGAGTTTTTGGTCACGACTCTATGTTGTTTTACGTTAAAGGGATACCTTTCAGTTTTTGCTTGCTTTAGTACCCCCTTGTGTCAATTAGCCAAATCAAAAGTGAAACTTATCTCAATGCTATGTGTTTGTCTTTTTAACACCTCTATAGGGAGTCCCCCACCAAGTGACATGCACGGTGTGTTCCTTGTCCTCGGAACTTGTTATTCCGAAATAAGTTAGATGGAAATTACACAATAAACTTGGAATTCCAAGCTGCGACCTAGAGATAACGAATTTAAAGAAGCCTGCCCAGTCCACTACCACGAAGTAGTTATCGTCTATTTTTTTCTCATTTATATGTGCCGTTTTCTTTCATTTTGCTATTTAACAGCACTGGTAAGTTGTTTATTGTTTTTATCAATAGTTATGTTGTTGAAAAATGTAACAGTGTCACCAAAATTGACCGGTGTTTATGGTTTTTACTTTTCCTGGTGTTTATATTTTTACATTTGATTTTTAATGTTTTTCTGGTAGTGTGTGGCAACTGTCGAAAGGCATGTGTGTGACTATAGAGAGCCTAAGTCTCATCCATTTCCAGTCGGCTCATGGGTCCCTGGAAGAATAAAAAAATTAATACAAGTCAACGGGGCTAAAAACGCAAATTTTCTAGTCCGCTTTGCCTTACACTCTGGATCACACATATGTTGTACTGCAATTTAAATGAAACGTAATGATGGGTGTTTTGACCACGCCAGTTATGTACTTTGAGATTTATCAGCTTGTAAAAGTTCGTAATTAGCATGACTACAAACGTTGCATATATGACGTTACCGCATAATCTCCTCTCCCCAAAGTAGCTGCTACTTACAACATGACCAGACTTATTGAGGGTTTTTCCTCCTGTGGGAAGTTTGCTGAACTTACAGCCCTTTTCCCTCAGTTTTTTCCGTGTCTGGTTCGATGACATCACTTTCGTGAAGCGCAATTGTAGTCCTGGCATGATTAAAAGACAGAGTACACACAAAACCTAAAATAGCATTTCCCCCCAATCAAAAATAAACACGTTCTTTGTATCAAAATGTGTCTTTAAAATTCATGGACATCATATGTGAAATCCATGGCACAAAAAAAGCGGAATTAAAAAATTGTGTTTTTAGTCCTGCTGACTTGCATTCATTTTTTTCGTTCTTCTGGGGACCCATGGTCCAGAATAGGGTTGTCACGAAAACCGGTGTAGCGGTAAACGTTGCAGGTAAATAAACCCTTTCTGTGTTTTAAAAAGAACTAAAAGATGAAATTAGAATTTCAACACAGCAAGAACACACCAAAGATGCTAACCCAAAGCTAATAGAGATTTTTTGAGCATTATCAGCGAGAAAAATGTGGTTGAGCAAATCAAAAGTGAAGCAGCATCTACAAAAAGAGCGGCAGTGTTTCTGTGGTCTCGCTCAGAGATCCACCATTGACCAGCATGACTACAGCCTCGCTTCTGAGCTGGCCGGCTGCCCCGGGAAACGGGAACAGCCATCCACCTGCTATTCTCAAGCAGGAGACAGGAGAAGCTGGGCACCCGCTCAAGATTCTTATGCAGCCCCACTAACATGTTTGACCAAGCAGTTAAATAACAGCATTCCCCCATTGAAATAAAGTACATAAATATAATTTTACTTACTGATAAAAAGAAGCTGAAACTGCTTGGATGGTCTGTTTGTAACCACAGCTTGCCCTTTTGTCCAACTACCTCCATGATTAACACCCAAACACAAACACACAGAAAAAACTAAAGTTCAGAGAGTCGAAATGGCCAAACATCTATTAACGTGAGGCTGAGGCCTTTTTTATGAGCTAGCTCTGAAGTCGCCTGGATGCTCATTAATTACCATAAATCCTCTAATACAGGCCCGGGTCTGTATTTTACTCAAGCTCATCAAGCTCCAGGCCTTTATTGGAAGGAGGGCCAGAATTAGAGGCAGGCCTCAATTTCTATTTGAGCAAAATGAACTAATGGTTTGCTGGAGTTTTTGACAATTAAAATTGCTCCCACATTTTCAAAGTTAAACACATTTCTTTTAACAACGGTAGTTTCTGCTTCAGCCCTCTCCCCCCTCCCCCTGCGCAGCGGCCGCAAACTCACTGATGTGCCTGCAGCCTCTCGGAGTTCCTGCTGCTCTAAACATTAAAATAATTATTTCATTTTCTAATCCTCACTTCTGATGACCTTCAATGGTGTCTGTTTGTTGCAACCACCAGGTACAAAAACTAACTTGTTTTTATTTGACTATTTTTCTGTCCTGCCTGTTTATTATCTTCCTGCATCTCCTCTCAATCCTAAAGAGAAACTGCTACCTGGGTTCATATATATTCACCTTATGAGTTACCTTTGAACTGCAGTTCTAAAAGATCTACCAACCGCAAAAACAGCGGGGTGCGCGCGGCTGCACCGATGAGGTGCGTTACCGGAGGACAAGGTGATGTGCCCCGCTCCACAGCAGCGAAACACATCAGGCACAAATAAAAGACAGAAAACATGAAAGGAAATGAGCCGACATGAACGATCGCGTGTTAAATTAGTTTTTGAGGTGGCGACACCTGATTTGATAACGTTACTGTGGCCGTGCTCAGGACGCAGATGTCTGGAGCGCGTCAACAATCAGAGCTTTGCATGCGCAAGCTGGTTAAGGTTAGGATGGGGGTGAGGGGAAGGTTAAATTGCAAGAGGGTAAATGTCACAATTTAGTTAAATGTCCGTTTTACGGTAGGTGTCAGTGCTGACTCTCTGGCACAGCGCGTTGCCTCCAGACGCGCAGGAGCTTGTCACCTGCTGACAGCAGGCTGCTGTCTTTTCCGTGGACTGCATCTTGCCGGTCATTATCACGTGACAGCAACTAGTCCATGACAGGCATAAAAAGTCACTACAGAGCGGTGAAGTCAACTAGTCACTAGTTCATACAACCCCTACTGCTCCCCAGAGTGTTCTGCAGCATAATCAGCACATCCGCTTTGAACTTGATATCAAATATTCGCCTCCTACTTGTCTCCGCACCTGCCATGGTTTAAGTTACCCTCGTGGTCTATCACTGGCAAATCAAAAGTGAGACGGATGACACAACCGCCCCCCCTGTGGTACTTCCTTGTTACCACATACTACCCGGCCACAATAAAAAAAACGGCCATTAGGGCTGCTCGATTATGGCAAAAATAATAATCACGATTATGGTGACTGAAATTGAGATCTCGATAATTTAGGACGATTTTTCAATTTATGTTGATTTTATTTGTTTTAATTCAGTCATAAAATTGTTCAGGGCACAATCAGGACAAAAAGAAATAAGAAACAAGATGATCACTAAAATAACTCCTGATTCCCAGTATAAAAAGACCAATATACTTATAGCTCATAGTTTATGACCCAAGGGCTATAGACCTTGGTTTAACTCATTTAAGTCTAACCAGTACAGACCCAAATACCAATATCTTGCAAACACTGACATCAAGAATTATACAGTGCAGGGTTTCCCTTACATAGGCGTAGCCGTGGCGGCCTGCCACGACTGAAATCCCACTGCCACGCCTACAAGATCCCAAGTTTTTTTTTTGCGCTGTTTCCCAAAGAAGCAGCGGGAACTACTATGTTGTCACTTGTGATCACAGCCGGCGGGCAGCAAGGAGGAGCAGGCAGGGCAAGGTGAAGTTACAGCTTAAGTTACTGAGTTTAAAATTAGAAAAGTAGCAGTGGAAATAATGCTTTGTGGTTTACATGTTTCAATAGCATTAAGATAAACGAGTGTTGACGATCTTGACAGGGTTTTCTACCCCCACCAGGCTTATCATCACTTATTCATGTAAAATGTATTTATTTTTTCATGTCTGACTTTAACCGCATCTAATACTGTGTTACGGCGTGAGCGCAACAGCGACAACTTAAGATCGATGTGTGAGCAGCCTGAGAGGTCGGGTGTTATCATCTGAACCCTTAAAACTTCCAGCAGGCTATGTTGCACTATTGACGTGTTAGCGCACGGCGCTAACAACTTAGCGACGTGACATGTCTCGGAGAAAGCGTAAAAACACGTTGGACGCTTCTTCTGAAGCGGGAAAATAACACCTCTTCTTAAGCAGAGCACGACGTCGCCTCGGCTCGTTCACGGCCGAGCCGGACTGAGCTCGATAACATTGACCAAGCAAAGCCACTGGGTCGTTGGAGCTGCCCCGTGACTGCCTGATGGAAAACCAGCGGGTTTCATCAGACTCGTAGTTTCTTGTTTTTGCTGGGGACCCCCTGTATTTTACCGCTCCCTCCTGCAGTCTTCCCCTATTAACATTTAAAATGATTCTGTAAACTCCGTGTATCAATAGAAAAAATCTCTACATTTACTGCAGCTGGCAGAGGCAGTCTCCAAATAATAAATAAGAGGTGCATTCATCTGTGTATCTCCTTTGATCCGCATTAGTGATATTCTCAGCACCAGAACAGTGAAGCAAAGAAAGTTTCCTGAGTTGGTTAGTAATTTTATTTATTAGGTGCATCTGACCTGTTCTATTTTTCTCTGAAATGAGATCAAATCAGTGCTTCTATGGGTTGTCTCCAATCTGCACTTGAAATTTTTACTTTATTTAGAGACTTGTCGTAATTTCTCCCAAGCCCCCCCCCTACGCGCCACAGCTGGAAAAATTCCTATGGGAAACACTGCAGTGGCATTTATAACAAATAAATGCAAATAAATTGATGTTCACAAAATGTTGCATAACATTTATTGAGTCGTGTCAAGGTGCTTTAGGAGAGTGCACTAGCACCGTGTCCTCAGAGAGATTAGTTATTATTTATCAGCGTGAGGAACTTATTTCTAGCTTATTTATAAACTATTTATTTACAAGTCCATCAGTTAATGTAACAATTGTCCCAACCACAGCTGCACCCCCCCACCCCCCAACTCGGTCTCACAGCAATCGGGGCAAGCTGCACGTGTGTTTAGCGCGCCGCACACGCACATTTAGCCGTTTTTAGTGGCTCAGGAGTCCGCTGGTGCGGTGTGTGTCACTCACTCTGGTTAATCCAACAAGGAGCCGACTCCGAGAGCTGTTTCTTTAGCGACCGACACATCAGTACATCATTCCCTTTCCTAATGTCCTGAAGAACGGTCTGGAGCGCAGGCGGGAGTGTTTAGGTAACCTGCAGGAAATGTCGACGACAGTTATCCAGAAAGTAGCTAAGGGTTACCAGAGATGTTTCTGAGGTGTTCGCTAGGTACATTTAAGATTTAAAAAGTCAAGAAGGGGGTCTGAAAAGCTGTTGGAAATAGCGTCAAAGTTGGCAACACTGTGGAGGAGCGCTTCATTTGCAACTCGGGGCAGCGCAAGTGGGAGGAGCAATTAATCGGCTTGTTTTGTTTTTATAATCGTTCAAAACACAGATCGTAATCGTGATTAAAATTCGATTAATTGAGCAGCCCTACCGGCCATTATTCACCTCCGCCGACCAAAATGTGATACCCGGCAGTTAATTAAATACAGGCCAATATTAGAGGATTTACAGTATTCAAAATTTTAAGCATTAAATTCTACTTAAACAGAAGAGTTACAAAAAAATCACTCTCTCAGAGGTGTCATGAATGTAAACTAGATCTATTAAATTTAAAATGTTTTTTGTGACCAGTCTGTAAACATGTTTATTTCTGCTGCAAAGTTGGCATTTTTAACATGGGAGTCAATGAGGATTTGCTCACTTCTGCTGCCAGCCCCTAGTAGATGAGGGTGGAACAGCAATTTTTGCAACTTCCTTGTTGGCTTCAAATTTGGTGCAGAATTATGGCTTGTTCCCAATACATCAGTAATCATGGTGCCACATGAAGAAATGTTCTCAACTCCACTAGCAGCAGTAGTTTCCATAACCACCTTCTTCTCTGTTTGACCGCAGGGAACATCAGAACGCAGTGCTGTAGCGTACAGTGTTCAAGAAAACCATGTCAGATAACCAGACATTACCAAATTTTCCAATGGAGAACTTTACATCATCAGACATGTTTCTTGACCTGCATCTTCTCGAACCTTGCAAAACTTTTAAAATGTGAAAAATAATTCACAAACTGCCATTTTTGTTGTCAGTTTGCACAAACATATTTTTCAGTGATACACAAACAAGTGATTGAGCTGTTTTATGCAGTGAAGAAGTGAGGGTCAGGCTTATAGCGCTTTGTGATTTATATCTGTGAAAGGTACTCTATAAACTTTTACTTACTTTACTTACTTATACATGTGTGCTGCTGAGTGTGTAAAATGGTTGTGTATTATTGATGTAGGAAGGCTGTTTTTAATATATAATGGTGTGTTAATGAATTTAAAGCTCCATGAAAAGTGGCAGTGCTTTACAAATTTAGATTTGATGTGGAGCCCTTTTCGGCTCTCCCTTCATCTGGACTAAACTCACTCGTCACCATGAAGAAAAATTAAAAATAAATAGAAATTATCAAAAGCTTTGTGCATTTTTATATCTGACAAATAAATGAATAATCGGTGTTTTACTATGGAAATGAGGCACAAGTTTCCTCCCAGTTGAACTGGTTAACACCGTGAGCTGCCACTCCCAAGATGGCGCACGCACCGATGCATCGTTGCTGAGGAGAAAGGGCGCACATGACGTTTTCTACTCCTCCGAAACCCGAACCTTGCGCTGACTAGGCTGGTACTGGACATATCGGCCACCTTCCTCATGGACAGTGACGAAGAGAGCGTGGAGGAGGTCGTAGAAGGTTTGTAACACCTAACGTTAACTTAATTCGGTCTCACCTCTGATGGGCGGTCTGTCAGTCGGAAGGCCCGTGGGTGTTTGGGAACGCCGGGGCTTGTGTTAGCGGAAGAGATCCGATGGAGTAGCGAGGGCGTGCGGTGATGAAGGTGGTCGGAACAGCGGTACCGGCATGGCAGCTGAAAACGCTCCCACACAGCCGCTGTTCCCTTCGGTAACCAACCGCTTCGTGCTCACAACGGTAGTGAGCCGACGTCAGCAAGTCATAAAGATTAGCTTCGCGCATACATGGTGCGTTACGGTAGTGGGGTGCATGCTGTCGACAGAAATGATGAAAATATGAAGCATAACTATAAAATAATATCTCACTTTATTCACAGTAAACGTTCTATAATTTCACAGTACATTTTAGGAGAAAAAAAACAGCAAAGTCAAAGTACCTAATTTAGCTTTTTTCAGGAATTTTTCATCCCAAATCCAGACCCGTACTCCACGGATCATGCTAAAAGGTCACCTACTATAACCAGAATAGGTGTGTTGTAATTTTAGTGTATATCTTTGGCAGACAAAGCTGGTCAAAGCACTTTTTAATACCAGGATATTAGTATTTCTTAGTTTTAATCACAGATCCAACACGTCTCCCACAGTGGGTCACCAAGTGCTGCAGGGGTATTGCTACGATTTCCAGAAATCAAAATAAAATTGAGTTACAAAAACTAAAATAAATGGTCAAAAGTGGAAAATTTTATATGAGGTGAAGCTTTTTTTTTAATGCCCTGAATTAATTAGCTTTTTATGCATAGTATAACGCATAAAACAGCAACGGCTGTATTGTCAAATCAGAGATTCTGCGGTTGCATGTCTGAAAATGTGGACTCAGGACGGGGAAGGCTGTTTTTGGTTTAGCGTCCAGGAAACTGCAGAGAACGTCTCAGCTAGTAGAAGCTAACCATTAGCATTAGCAAGTCCACCACACAGCAGAACTCTTCCAGGCTTGTGTTATTTGTGGAGATAAAACATCAACGTTGCAGACCAAGCAGAGTCAGTGGTAGAGTCTTGTTGCTGTTAGCCAATCAGAGGAGAGATATCCACATATGTGGAAATAAGACTCCTGTCCTGATCCTGCCACCTGAATCTATTTTCTCCTACTGTTTTTCAAATCAAGCTTCAACACAATATTCACAATGTACAGTAACATTTACAAACATGACAGGAAATGACATCACACCATCCAAACATTAAAATCTATTACTCTTAATTATGCAAGGATGAGAGCTAAAGGTAGGAACTTAACACCAAACGCTGACATGTGCTTGGTTTGATCTGCTGTAACTCTGCTACAGTTTGTTTTTTAAATAATAGAAGTTGGGCATAGAAGTGCACATAGTTATTATGGTAAAGTCCTTCCCGCTGTTGCAGGACGTCTGCGCATAAGTCTGTCCCACACGGTGCTGGGTGAGGGACAACAAATGAGAAACCGATCAAGGCCACAGCCATAAACAAGATCGGCCTTTGTAGCAGTGAAATGTTCAGCTAGGGGGCGCTACAGCTACCCCTGGATTAGTCATTGCACCCCCAAGTCAATATTAGATTTTTTTTTTTTACAATTTGATTTTACTTTAACGTGTGGATATGATAATATTTAACATACAAAACAAAAATAATCAGTAAATTATCATGTAGATAGTAAAAACTTAAACCAAAACAGGAAATTGATGTTAACCTTTGACCTCATTTTCCACCTGCAAACGAGTGAAAGGTAGAGCTAGTGGTAAAATGGATCGGTTCTTGGTGCCCAAATTTCCACGGGTTCAGTCGGGAACGAATGAATCTTTGGAAGTGATCTCAGACCCACAAAAACCTACGGATCTGGATGAAGAGGGTCAACCCTCAACCCTCGCAGCAGTCGAGAGTTTTGCCGCTGGAAATGCTAACGCTAATGTTAGCTAACCTTGCAACACTTTTGGCTAGGGCTGCACGATAATAGGACAACCTGCGATATTCGATAACAGTGCTTAATATTGCGATATCGATATTACTTGCGATAAATGAACAAATACTAAAGTATGCAGTGTTGATGTCGTCTGGCGTGTGACGTCTGCTCTGGGTTCAAAGCAAACAAAACTAATGCATGAATTCCATTACAACATACCATTTTTATTGCAAAAATATGCAGCGTCACCTGCTACTGTATTAGCAGCAAAACAACAAACTGCATGCATGCAGTTTTTCAGTGACTAAAACATCACCTCCACCATAAAACTTTTTCTGATGCTCCAAATACATACTAGCATACAAAACATCCCTTACCAGGGTTTTTTGAATAAATAAATAAAAAAATCTGAAAATAAGTTTAAATGTTAAATAATAGTTAACATCACTTAAATGCAACAGCAAATTCTCTCATTGCTACTGAACATTTTCTCCACTTATGTGGTTAGGATATAAGGCTGTTGCTGTAATTGGGAAGTGAACTGTGCTGGGCCAAACTAGGAGAATATTAAGATTTTCTGAGGGAAAGAGAAAAACAATTGTCTACCATTCAGAAGAGGAACTGGCAAAAAAACTACATGGAAAATATGTGAAAACGTTTGTTTTTAACCCCAAATTGAACAAGTTTACCTAGATCTTAAAAAGCAGCTCAGATGATGAAACTGCAGCTATGATTCTGGTAACAAGCTAACAAATTGAACTAGCTCCTCTTAAGATAACCGGCTAGCAGAGCTTCTGACTGACAGTTTATGTGCAGCAGCAAATCAACTATCCTGATTAACAAGGTTATAAAAGCTCATGAATGAAAAATCACTTTGATGTGTGGGGGAACTTTTCCAGGCCCTCTTTAGCAGGGTGGGACTGGAAGGAGAGTGCTGTAGCCTTTTAGCTGGAAGCTAACCGGAGCCTGGGGCTAACATCACCACCCGGTGGAACACTATCAACATTAAGGTGGGTTGGTTCACCAGCACGTGTCGGAGTCAGCCCGGTAAAAATGATTAAAGACACCGAGCGGACTCACGTTCACGTCTGAAAGCAGCGCTGATTCCAGAAACCTCAGCACAAAGTGTGTTCGTTAGTCTGGGCCAACATGACGAACAAGGGAACGGCGCCGCTAATGTTCGGGTATTGCTTTCCATCCTAAGGGTCTACATAGGGGGCTGGCGTATTTCGTGAACGGACCCATCTGATTGGCCGCATATCAGAAGGGCTACGTTTGATTGGCCAAATAATACTTCCGCATAAAAACAGAGCTGGTTTACAAAAAGTTGATGTATGACACGGATGGAAATGTTTGAACCAAACATTTATCGCCGTTTTTGGCGTGCTTTGCGATGGGCCTATCGCACGTCCTGTTATGCCGATGACGATAATTTTTCGATATATTGTGCAGCCCTACTTTTGACCCTTTGCACGTGACGTCACGCCACTCATGTGACCGCCCCCTTCGCCATGATGGACGGCAAAAAGACCGTTTATACCCGTAGAAACTCCAGTGAAAGTAGTCAAAACAAGCCAGTTTGTAGCCTTTTATATCTTTTATTTAGTTGATTTGACAGTAAAATGGTTTTAGCTTGCTGCGTGGTCGGCTGCACTAACAGACAAGGATGTAAACTCAACTCGTTTTGTTTTTTTAATAACTTTGATGGAGACTGAGGACGGAGATGAACTGCAGCGATCAATCAAGCGGACTAGCAGCCCTCAGATTAGCAGCGAACATGTTTTTAGCGGGTAAGATTAACGATCATTTATTTCACGAGGAAGACAGGGACAGGGATAAATGTGATGTGTTTCTACTAGCTACTGATAATCCTGATGGACGGTATTTCACCACGGAGGCTGCGCTCCGTCCACTGTAGTGTAAAGCGAGATAATTATTAACAACATTAAAGCTCCGATGTATGATTACGTGTGTTAAAATGACGTTATTTATTTATATGAGCGTCGGCGTTCAGAGATCTTCTCATTCCGGTGTGAGAGCAGCAGCTGAAGCCGGTAACACCACCAGCAACAGAAGCTGGTAGGGATCCGGACTTTCTAACAATCAGCTTTGGTGTAAAGTGAAACGCTGTTTGTAACATAAAGTTATAAATCCAGAGGGGTGAATTTAGGCAAAGTCAGCAACATGTTTACATCGGTGAACAGCTGCAGAGAGAACGTAAGCTAACGCTGGTAAGTTAGTTAGCATACCGCTCTCTATGAGCCCCCGCTAGATGCGCTACTTCTTCTGATAACTGAACTGGGCATGAACTAGTGGAAGGAATGCTGGAGGAGTTTTGTTTTTGTTTTGATCGCAAAAACAATTTCAGGCTCCACTTTTCCCTTTGTTTAGTACTCGTGTCGCTCACTGTTTACATGCTTTTGCCGTCCACCGTGGTGGACCCACGTGATTAGGTGACGTTGGTGCAAAGGGTCAATAGGTGGTTTTCTGTGTGGCTGTATGTGTTTATGATTTCATGGAAAAGTCAGCGATTGTTCACATGTTTATGATGTATATTAATGATTGTTGTAGGTGTTGTTGGGGTTTTGTGCACGCATGTGTATCTGCTAGTGTTGAAGGTGTTTTAGAGAACAATAGGTACGCATGACCACTTCCTTCATAGCACCCTCACTAAAAAGACTAGCTCCTTCATAGCACCTGCAGAAAAACATTTCTGGAGCCGCCACTGCTTTGTAGCCGCTCTGTCAGCGCACGCATTGGGCTCGGCTCCACCCACACCCCACCCACACCCCTGGTGGCACTCGCTGCTACCGCCATAACACTTTCAAAACTTGGATGTGTAAAATAAATGACACAACAGATTCTGGGTCAGTCAGGAGCACTGCAACAAAACAGCAGCTTGAACGTGATTGCGTTGTATGAAATGATCAGTGGAGATTTCAAACTGGTAAAAGTGTGGATGTGTGATGGCCTGGGGCCTATCTAGGTGTAGTCCAGTACCTTGTTTAACATCTTCAATTCAAACCACTGTAATCGTGTGTGTGTGTGTGTGTGTGTGTGTGTGTGTGTGTGTGTAGGCCCACTAGATGAAGATGGTCAGCCCCATGGTTTCTGCACTGTTACCTTCTCATCCGGTGATCATTTTGAAGGACACTTCACTCATGGAGAGAAGAATGGAAAGGGCAAGTTCTTCTTCTTTGATGGAAGGTAACGTTTAATGACTTTGATTTATAAAGTAGAACTTGACGAGATAATGCAAGCAACCGTAACTCATTTGCTGCCAACCATTTCCTGATCGGTAAAGCCCTTTTTAAGAGTCACAGAACATTGCGTACTAGGATGATGTCGATGACAAAACACCCAAAACAAAGCGTAGACTCACCTCTTACATCAGGAAGAATCCCCGCGTTTCGAGCGTTATCCGTTCTTTCATAATCCGTTGTTGAATAGTGATCGGCAGAAGCTTTTCCGGTTTGTGCCTCACTTTTTTTTTTACAGCAGTGGCTCAAAACAATCTCCTAACACATGGATTTTCTGCTTCCTGATCATGTGACATGTGATGTACGCGGCCGAAGATCTGCTTTAGAGCTGGGATGTTTGTTCTCACGGTGCGGGGCCTCGTTCCAACGCCCACACAGTAAAAAATTGCAAATGACGACTTTTGTTGTCAATGGCAGTGAATGAGTTAAACAAACCCCGGCGTTAGCACCTTTTGGAGACAGAGAAACTGGCGCAGCCAGTCAGATGGTAAAGTGGTGATTATCTTTTTAGGCCACATTTACAGACGTAGAAATGAGTGCAAGTCAATGTTGTTGTACACCTGTGCAATGACAGTAAAGTGATCAATTGCACGCATACACACTCTCTCTCTCTCTCTCTCTCTCTCTCTCTCTCTCTCTCTCTCTCTCTCTCTCTCTCTCTCTCTCACTCACTCACTCACTCACTCACTCACTCACTCACTCACTCACTCACTCACTCACTCACTCACTCACTCACTCACACACACACACACACACACACACACACACACACACACACACACACACACACACACACACTAGAGCTGGTTGGTAAATCTTTTATTGATTAATTTCAGTGTATTGTTTGTGAAAATTTAATTTTGGAAAATTGAGATTTTCTTTAAATCCTGGGCTTCTGTAGTTCAGAATAAGGCCAACCCACACATGTCTCATCATACACACATCAAACACTTTCTGACTAGAACGGTCTGCATGAATGTTTTTCGCACAGAAACACCTTGAAGTTACGATTTTTAGCAGAACTGTCCGCTTTTGTGTTTTCACTCATGATGCCGTCAGACTACCTTGTCCAGGCATTCACTCCAGCTGCTAATGCTAAAAGGGTATCCTAGCTACGTCCGATACGTAATGTACAAAAGCTTCTTTGGTCATTGGATACCATAAGTGTTGGTGGTATGGCGAGTAGCATAGCTACAGTCCCAATCAAAACTTACAAAATGGATCCTAACAAGTTTCCAAGCGGAGCTTCAGCACGCAGCAAGAAGAAACGGGATGAGACGACACATTTTCTGAGCAGCAATTTATTGATAACAACAGTTGAACTGAAACAGGCTGTTTTATAGCTGATCAAAAGTTTGAGACCACAGGCCATCAAAATGCAAAAATGTGGATTCATTCTCATTTCTGTGGGGTGGTCACACCATCCTGATGCTTTGATGGCAAAGGCCAGAACAGACTCCCTTTTTGAACGTGGTCGGGTTGTCGCAGTAAGACAGTGCTTTGACATTTCATAAATAAGCCTGATTGAATGTCTGTCAATACATCCTCAATCCATCTGAAGCTGAAGTGCTTCAAAACCAAAAACATCTTCAAAGGTCTTGTGTTCTTGAACGTCACAGAACTGACCATTTGGACCATGCAAGAGAGCACCAAAAGTGGCGCATTGAATCCTGCTGGTTTCCAACGTTACTGGCATGACTAGCAGATCCCACCTGAGATGTTTGCTGCGTGCCAAAGTGGAGGGGCACCAAAATGGTCTAGGGTGCTTTTTCTTTCAGTGGAACGATGGAGCTTTAGGAGGCGTAGGAACGTCCAACGGCCTCTGGCTACGTCCAGACGTTGCAGAGAGCATCTCTCATGGCTGAGGTTCCTCGTCTGTGTGGTAAGGACTTGGTTTTTAAACAGGATTGTGCTACAGTAATCAGATTACATGCCTGCAGGACAAGGAACTTCTTGCAGGAGAATAGCATCACTCTTTTGGACCATCCTGCGTTTTCCCTCGATTTAAATCCAATTGAGACCGTAGGTGCTCTTCGTGCAGCCGTCTTCGCCACTAGGAGAGATGTTCCCACTCAACTCTTTGAAACGCTTGGTCAGCTGTAAAACAGCCTGTTTCAGTTTAAGCGTTGATTTTATGAACACACGCCAATCCTTGATGAATCAGTGAGGAAACGTCCACATACTGAATAACTTTGGCCAGATTTACCCGAACGTCCTCTAACCAGACTTGCTGTCCCTTCGGTGTCCTTCGTCTGCAGCACCTTGGAGGGTTTCTATGTGGATGATGCTCTGCAGGGACAGGGGGTGTACACGTGTGAAGATGGAAGTGTCCTCAATGGGACATATGTGGACGGTGAGCTCAATGGACCAGCTCAGGAGATGAATGGAGAGGGCTGCCTGGTGTTTAGGGGCCAGTATAAAGACAACCTTCGCTGTGGTGCATGCTGGATCTACCACCCTGTGAGTAATCGCTGCAAGCCAACAGTCTGCAAAGAAATGGTGATAATGTTGTTCCCTGACTGCAGCTGGTGTCGCTTCTATGGTTCTAGGATGGTGGCTGTGTGTTTGGGGAGGTCAACCAGGATGGAGAGATGACCGGTGACTCGGTAGCTTACATTTACCCCGATGGTCGCACGGCCTTGTATGGAACTTTTGCTGATGGGGAGTTACTCACAGCCCGCCTCGCCACACTGGTCTCCAACCAGACAGGAAGGCCACGCTTTGAAATCACTCCTAACAGTAAGTATGAGGTCATCTCCATCAGGGTGTGATTAGTAGCCAGGCTAAAGGCTAAAGCTTTCCCAGTGACACAGAGGGGTTTAGCTAACTTCACAGCTACATTTACATTAGTCCAGGGCTTGTCCAGAATCTGATCATCCTCACAGGCCACAGTCTAGGATATTCCACATTTTTAGTTTAAAACGGAAGTGTGAATTTTGAATGATTTGCAGCCCAAAGGGGTAATAGGTGATATGGGTATGCTCTGTAGACCTAGGGCTACAATATTTGTCTTTACAGTGATCCCTTGCTACTTCGCAGTTCGTTTATCGCGGATTCACGACTTCACGGATTCTTTCTTTGGAGCCTTATTCAAGGGAAATTTGCTGATTCGCGGTATTTTTTCTATGCAAAATATCAAGAAATTCCTGGTTTTTTTTTTTCATCAATCTCATCATAAAATGCACTTTTTGTAATAAAACTATAAATAAACCAAGTAAAAACAAATTTCTATGTAAAGGGAGGGTTTTAAAAGTCTGAATACTGAATACGTACCTGTTAAATAAATACTGTAAATATGGTGTCCCTACTTCGCGGATTTTCACTTATCGCGGCCAGGTCTGGAACGCATCTACCGCGATAAACGAGGGATCACTGTATTTATTTATTTATGTTTTAGGACTGGGGTATTCAATTTCATTAATCTCTTTGAATCTCTTATGAACATTGAGATTAGAATGGCCACCCCCGTGCCTTACTGAGCTAATATGTTAGTTTTTAACTGTGACTTAATCTCATTTCTAAGGTCCTGTGTATTCACATGACAAGTCCACTTCGACCTGTATTACCGTCCATGCTCTGTTACCGGACCCATATGAGAGCCAAAGGTAGGTCTGCTGCACGTCAGCGCTGGCCGTCCCAAAGCCGACTAGAACTTGACTCGGTCCACACCCTGTTTCCTGTTAGGGTGTTTGTGGCAGAGTCCCTGATCAAAGGAGCAGGGCAGGGGCTGTTTGCCAGGGCCGACTTCGAGGCTGGCACTGTGATGGCGTTTTACAATGGAGTCCGCATCACACACTCTGAGGTAATCAGATTACATCAGTAGTTTATAGGGGAGATATTAAGACATTTTAACTGTTACAATATTACTGTGGTGTACACAAAACATGTTTATGAAGTTATTTTGCATAAAAACGTTCTCACAAAGGGACCTCAACAGCTTTATTCTTGACATTTTCAGTGCCCCCCAGAATGAGCTGTTTCAGGGCTCTGTCTAGGGATGAGCGAGTACACCCAGGGTTTCCCTTACATAGGCGTAGCCGTGGCGGGCCGCCACGGCTGAAATCCCACCGCCACGCCTACAACATCCCAAGTTTTATTGATGTTTTTTTTTTTTTTTTTTTTTTTTTTTGCGCCGTTTCCCAAAGAAGCAGCAGGAACTACTGTGTTGTTGCTTGTGATCACAGCCGGCAGGTAGCAAGGAGGAGGAAGCAGGGCAGGGTGGTTACAGCTATGAGCGTACGGATAAAGCATTTTTGACGAATACGAGCAAGAAACGAGTGTAAAACTCGGAAATATCTGTAATCGTGCTGAATGAAATTCTCATTGGGTAACTGACTGTCTTCAAGCTCTGTGATTGGCCAGTCAGATAGAGCGCCCGCCCCTCCCTACAAGCAAAACTGCAGCCGGGAGCTCCGTCAGCTCGGCCCGGGCATCAACGCACACACACACAGACAGTAAGCCGGGCGTACACTGTGCGACTTTTTCACTTTTTTGAGCCGATTTTCCACTCGTGCGAGAATCCACAAGATCGGGGCGAGTTTAGCATTGAGCGTGGTGTAGTATACAGGGGGTTACGAGAGGCGATTAACACCACGTGACCAGCTACCGATCAGCAATCGTGAGCTGCACGGACTTCTGGAGTGTTTGATATTTATCTCATTCCTCATGAGGGTTGAAGCGGCGCAGCGAGCAGCTGCGACCCAAAAAGTATCAGAACCGCTCACGGCGCATTCGCAATCCTGCATCAACTCCGCTCACCCGCTATTTCCCTAATAACACACGCTGTTCATTTTTGTTTCTACGCATTTTTTTTACTCACAAAGATTGTCAAGAAAGCGTGTTTGTCGTGTTCATGTCAAATTAAACTGATCACAAAACACAGATTTACTTTCTTTATTTTGTTTCCTCATCCAACCCCCATAAATCCCTGTGTGTCCTCCTGCAGCACTCCCGAAGGACAACAGGCAAAACAAGACAACAAAGTCTGACGTGTTGTGTTAAAAACTGCTATTTTTAGCATATTTTTAGGTCCGACGTGTTTGTTGCTACCAGACGTACAGTGAGCACATGACTCGTGAGCTCTACCCTGCGCTGAAGTCGTACAGTTTGAGCTGAAGCTGAGTGTTACGAGTGAAAAAGTCGCACAGTGTCTGCCCAGCTTATTATAATGTTCACTGTAATGCATCTTGATGTTCTTAACAAATAAATCAAATCAAAAATATTGGTCAATAATGCCAAATATGTAAATTTGTGTTTCAGTCATTTTTATACTGGCTTAAAAATACTTCATTAAGTCTACTAAGCAGGGGTGTAGAACGTGTTTAATAGGGCCAGCCCAGTAATGATCTTGGACCAAAATAAAGGGGGCAGAAAGTCAAATAAAGGGGGCAAAAGAAGATGTTTTTCCAGACGCCAAGAAAAATTAAATGCCAAATCCACCCTGCAAAGTGTGTCACTGAGAGTTTAAAACAGAAATTATTATTGTGCAAATACTGGTGTACTCACCTTTAATACTAGTTATTACAATGTAGCAGTTGCTGGATTGGTGCAGTTCAAAGTGGAGTGCATCAAATAAAACAATATTAACATAAAGGTGAGACGTGTCATACCCCCCCCCCCCCCGCAAACACCACCACAGCTGGAAAAATTCCTAGGGGAAACACTGACACCACTATCTGTATCTGTATCTGTTCAACCAACTAAATTATCTGTATCTGTATCTGTACTCGGAATGGGCGTGGCATACCCGGAAGTGGGCGTGGTTTAACCGGAAGTGGGTGTGGTTTATATCAATATATTATTTTAAGTCTGAAATTGATATGGATTGATCAGAAGTTGCTATGTGTATTGTTTATTTGAAAACTATTTACAGAGCAGCCTCAGAATTGAGATTAAATATTTTTGATCACAATAGTAAAGAAATTATTACAGAACAAGTTTTTCAATAAAATCAGAACATTAATATTTAAGTGCATGGATTAATACATCTGAACTCATGCAGTAGGAACTAGGAAATATGAAATGCTAGAACCAGACACAACTTTATATATATATTTTATTTTAATTTGATTAAAGTGATTTTTTTCTTAACGTTCTTGGCATTTTGCCCCACACAAAGTTAAACAAAACAATGTTGATTAAGGTGTGTGTGTCTGAGAGAGATAGAGAGGGCGAGAGGGAGAGAGATGGAGTTAAAAAAATAAAAAACCCAACCGGAACGGAGGTAGTGAGTGACGCAGCATGTCAGCTCTGTCTTGTCAAATGCACCATGTAAGTTACGAAAAAAGTAACTTTAAATATTCAACTGAAAAAGAGGTGAGCTGAAGAAAACCTAGGGAAAACTGAAGAAACGTGAGCAGCAGTGAAGCAATCACAGCGAGATCCATTACTGTCTGTGTGTGTGCGTGGATGAGCCGGACGGACTGCGCTCCCGGCTGGCTAGAGAGTTTTGTGTGAAGGGAGGGGCGGGCGCTCTATGTGACTGGCCAATCACAGAGCGTGAAGACAGTAAGTTACCCAATGAGGATCTTCCTTCAGCACGATTACAGATATTTACGAGGTTTACTCGTCTCATGCTCGTATTTGTCAAAAATGCTTTATCCGTACCGGATACTCGTCTGAAACGAGTATCCGGCTCATCCCTAGCTCTGTCACTTAGCTGTTGCTAAAACAGAAAGCAGTGGGTTGGGTTTGTCCATTTTTTATATGCCTATGGTGGACACACACAATTGAAGTCATTTCTGTTTGATTTTGGCGTCTGAAATGTGGTCTGGATTATCTGATGTACATCATTAACCGTTATCCTCAGCAGTTCCTGCTGCGATCAAGTGACAGATGCCATAGAGTTCACTAAAGTTACTGTGACCTGGAAGTTGTTCAGATGGCTAAAAATTCAGGAACTGTCAAACCGGGGGTTCACGGCATGCATGCTTTTGCATGAATCAGACTGCTGTAACTTTTACATTTGTGCTCTCAATAAACGAGAGATCAATAAGCCATTGTTTTATCAGCTTAGGTAGAGGCTGCTGTGCCTCAAGGTGTTAGTGGCTCTAACGTTATGGGGTCTGGTTCTCCAGGTGGATAGCCGAGACTGGGCGATGAATGGAAACACAATCTCACTTGATGAAGATACTGTGATCGACGTTCCGCAGCCATTTGACCAGATTGAAAAATATTGTGCCTCTCTTGGTCACAAGGCAAACCACTCCTTCACTCCCAACTGCAAATACGAGCCGTGAGTACAACCTCCCTGGATAGAGCAAAGAGGAGAAATCATTCTGGCCTTTTTTAAGTGCACCTCCCCAATCCAAGATGCATTATTTAGTCGCCTACTTTTTGCTGATTGTGTTGGTGTGGCTGGTACAAAAAGAGTCTGTTTCAGTCATTTTGAAAGGAAGGTTATACTGAAACATATTTCATGTCCAGCTGGCTGTGGGGATTCTCAGTTTTTCTCCTTTCACAACAAAGGAAGGAGGGGCGTAACTGTTTACCATCAGTGAGTTTGGGGGTGCCGTGTCTCCTACGAGCTAATGCTGCAGCGTCGATAATTGTAATTTGACGACATTTTAACCACATTTTACCACAGGATGTCATTTTAACTTCATTTCTACATAGTGCACCTTTAATGTCCATGGATGCTTTTTGGTGCTGATCAGTGACATCACTCACTGCCGAAGCAGTAACGATATGCTGATATCTCACCAAAGGGCTGAATTTGTTTAGAGACCAAGCCACTGTACCTGCTGGTCAATTTTCCCCCTCCCAGAAATGTCTCTGCACTCCTTTATTGGAAACGCAGCCATTTTGAAAATGATCCTACTCTCTCTTAATTTAAGGCTGCCAATAAGTCGGTCCAGTTCTGAAAATGTCACTGCAGTGATTCTGAATGGTTCCCAGTAGTTTAGGTCAGGTGAACATGGAGGCCAGTCAGTGGTATCAAAGCCTTCATCCTCCAGGAAGGGCCTGTGCATTCTGTTGCCCCATGAGGCCTGGTACACCTGCACCAGGAGGAACCAGGACCCACGGCACCAGAGAGGGATCTAATGGGTCCAAGGTCCTGGTTCCTAACGGCAGTGATGACTGCTTCGTCTCTCAGACGTTTAACGGATTTCATACTCTGATAGAAATGTTCCTTAAATTGTTTAAGTGATGTATAGACGTGCATCTGACCTACCACAGGGCTAATGGTTTCTGAACCTGCTGAAATGCCCCCACGACCCTACATGAGTGGGTATACTTTGTTTGGTCAGCAGTGTGTCTTATTTGTATTTGCATTAAATCCTCTGTCTTTTGGCCAGGTTCATCCATCCTCGCTTTGGGCCAATCAAATGCATCCGAAGCACGAGGGCTGTACAGAAAGATGAGGAGCTCACCGTTGCCTATGGTTACGATCATGAGCCGTCGGGGCAGAGCCGCCCTGAAGCTCCTGACTGGTACAGGGAGGAACTCAAGGTGTTCCAGCAAAGACCTCCTGCTGGCCAATAAGAAGTTAGCTCTGTACCCCTGGACCAGGAGGACTGGTTCTACTGGTGCTACAGCGGTAGCCCAGCCTGCTGGTTCTAGAAACGAGTAGAAAGCTCCGACTTTGGTCAGCCACTCCAAGACTATGCAGGACACGAAACGACTGTCAAGTGTGATACGTTTGAAGGTTTTAATAAATCCTGGTTATTTACTAAAACAGAGCCTGCTGCTTCAGCATCCCTCTGATGTTATTAAAAGTTTACTCTTCAGTCACGTGTTCATTTAAAGACTGGAGCAAAATCACTAGGATACATCTCTGACCCAGGATCATGGGTCTAGTGAAGGGCTTTAGCTCAAGAGAGCAGAGCAGAAAGGGTAACTGCAGTCTCCTGACAAAGTAAACTAGCTATTTCAGACTTTACAGAATCAGAAACCCCCTTCTGTGAAACGGAGGCATTTGAAGACAGCTGATCTGTCTGAGAACCGGGTGTTTCTTCATGCTCCCAGCTGGATGGTCTGCCCTGCAGCGGGTGTTTGTCTAAAGCGAGAATCTGAGACTAAAGTCGACTTGAATTTTCTTCCAAGAACAAAGCTGAGCCTTGCTCACACAGAGTGCAAAACGGATGTTGTCCAGCCTCCATGTGCTGAACGTCTGTGGACATCTGGTCCCACGAGAGTACCAAAAGATTGGAAATCTGACAGAATACTTGTAAAAAATAATGTCCACTATCACACACTGAAGTGACATCACTGTCATTGTTAATGAAACAAAAGCCAGCAAAAATAACGCAACACGGCTTTTATTTTGAAATATACACTTTGCTGTTCTCGTCTCATTTCCTGTCTGGCTCATGTAATTTCCTCAACTTCATGACAAATCATCTCTGGAGCTTCTGCACTTCAGTGGATGTGACTGCTCTGATTGGACTCTAAGAATTTCGATCTTTGCGAAAGCCGCATGGATGCAGATCTGCATCTGTTCCACACTTGCTGTAAATGAGGCTTAAATGCGTTTTAGTGGGTCCAACAAGCCATTTGTGGCTCCAGAGCCGCAGTTTGAAGACCCCTGGTCTAAAGAGAAATTGCACAGCCATGTCGACTATTGTGGTTTTAATGAGTTTTGTCAAGCAGCCTTACAGTCCTCTACAGTCCAGTGTTTCTTGTGCCCTAGATAACTTCTAGTAGGGCTGGGTGATACGGCCTAAAATCAATATCACGATATATTGAAGATTTCACCTCAATAACGATAAATGGAAGATAACTACCGGTATGTGCAGAAACAAAACTTGTCCACTAGATGGGGCTGTTCCGTGTATTACGTTGAGTCACATTTTTACGTGGCTGGAGGTGGAACAGCTTCTTAAAGGGACATGAACGTTTCCAACCTACACACATCTTCATTTTTTTTTATTATCAAATTTATCGACATGGGATAAATTATCACAATAAGAGTCCGCAATTTCAATAACGATAACTTTTCGATTAATTGCCCAGCCCTAACTTCTATTAATAATGATGGATTAGATTTATATTGTGTTTTCAAGGCACCCAAATTAACAGACTTCTCTGTTTGGTGAAAAACAACCACATTTAGGAACATTTACTTTTAATAGGACAAGGAAGCAAAACGTGTTTGCATTGGTGTGTGAGTCTCCGCCACTAGCAAGTGCTTTAAAAGTATCTGAATGTCTGGTGAAGGGGTGTCAGCCCTGGAAGAGTCTTCCTGTTGGTAGAAACCAAATCAGAGTCGGCAGAACTTGTGTTAGGTTCAGACTCTTTATTATAATTATTAGTCCAGAAGCAGGATATTCATGTTTGAACTCGTACAACAGAATCTGGTTGTTGCCTCCGCGGTCTTCATGACACAGATCCATAAAACATAAACTATTACTGCAGTGCCCATATCAGGTTTAGAACAAGCATCCAAAATCATAAGAGCAATGGCTTCATTTGGACTAATCTCCTGTCCCAGGATGCATCTGGGTCTGCGGTGCCAGGAAGCTGCTAACTGAGGCCCTTTTCTTCTTGTAGCTGGGCCAGCGGCAGACAGGACAACAGTGCCGGCCTGCTGCTAACCAGACCACAATGCACTGTTGATGGAAGGCGTGGCCACAGGGGAGACCCATCAGCAGCTCCTCCTCCATGAAGTTCTCCAGACACACCACACACTCGGAGCACAGAAGCATGTTAGCGGGCCACTGTGTCCAATCACACTGCAGATGTGTAGGGGGCCTCGGGGATGTGAGGTGAGGGCCCTTCAGCATCTTGTTGGCTGATGGTGAGTCCACAGGAGCAGCGCTGCCATCACTACAGCTCCTGTCAGCATCCACGCTGCTGCTGGCTGCTCTGTGGACAACGGTGGGGTCGTCTGGATGTCCGCTGACTCCTGAATCAGAAGAAACAAATGGCTCTAAACACGAGCCATCATTTTCTATGTCCTGCAGCCCACCTGACACTCCATCTGCTCTGAGCCTCCAGGTTGGTAGAGCCTTTATGTAGTCTACATTTACCAAAGGACGGAGCCAGAGATCTGGAAAAGCTAGGCGCTCCAATAAGAAGCTTGGATCATCCTCCCAGTCTGATTGATCTGATGGAAACTGCTGCAACGACGCAATTGGGTGCAGAAGACAAGAAGTGTACCAGTCCCACAAACTAGCCAGCCACTCCAGGTTAGTGGAGCCGTCCTCTTGGTTCCGAGTGCCACAACGGCGTTTCTTCTCAAAGTAGTCGACCAGCAGGCCATGGGCCAGGTAGGTAGACAGGAAGAGAGCTGGGTGAGACGAGTAGAAGGTCCAGTCAGCTCGCACCAAACTTGCTAAGGTGGTGGTGTCAGCATAACGTAGCAGCTTCAGACTGAACCCATACAGCATGTCCAGGTAGGGTAGCTGAAGGAGGGCCTGCAGGAACATCAGATCAACCAGATAAATCATCGTCATCAACATCTCAAATGTCATCAAGTTCAAAATGAGAGCTAGCTCAGCTGCAAGGAACAGTTGGCAGACTAGACGTTAAGTAAAGGTAGGCCACAGATTCAAACGCCCACACTGTTTACAGTGAAGACAAGCTGCAGACTTCAGTTGGGGATATAGTCAGGGGCTTGAAGGAATACTTCTGAGGACCTCCCCAATCCCATCGAGCAAGGGGACCTAGAGAAGGATCAACCAATCCCCGGAGAAGCTGCTGAGGTATTCAAATATCTCTGTGGAGCTCCGGGGGTTGATGAGTTCCATCTTGAGTATCTCAAGGTTCTGGGTGTTTTAGGACTCTTGGTAGACACGTGCTTGCAACATTGCATGAGCATAGGACGGGGTGTCTGTGGAGAGCAGAATGGCAAGGTGGTCTCATTTTTTAAGAAAGGGGACCAGAGGTAGTGTTCCAACAACGGGGAGTTCCCACTCCTCAGTCTCTCCAGAAAGGGCTGGTTGATAGTAGATGTTACAAATAAGATGAAGCAATGCTATTTGTGTCTTGGCCATAGAACTGTGAAACTGATCTTGACCATTGCTAAGGTGCTGGAGAGAGCACGACAATTCCCTAACCTGTCCATGTGCACATCGTTGATCTGGAGAAGCCCCATGACTGTGTCCCCAGGGGAACTCAGGAAGAATGGGGTGGATGGCCCTGCCTCTCAGTCCCCTAACCAAGAGAGATCGAGTCTGGTCCACATTGCCAGCATTGAGTCGGACCAGTTCCCGGTGAGGGAACTTGCAGCATCTGCAGTGATGCGGACGCTGAACCAATCTGCTGTGGTGAAAGCTCTTGATTCACAGGCTGATCTTTGTCACAATCCTTAACTATGGTCAAGAGCTTTGGGCAATGACCAAACACAAGTGGCAGAGGTTCCTCCATAGGATGGCCGGGTTCAGCCTTAAAAGGTATGCCGAGGAGAGCGGACATCTGGGAGAGTCTCAAAGTAATGCCACTACTCCTCCATGCCTAAAGGATGTGATTTGAATATTTGGTCAGCCTGCCTCTTAGGAGAAGTGTTCCTGGCATGTCTTGTTAGCAGGAGGCCCCCAGGTCGACCCAGGACATGCTGGAGAGATTAAATATCCATGCTGGCCAGGGAACATCCTGGGATCCCACTGATGGCCCTGGTGGAGGTTGCTGGGGGGAGAGTGGCTGAGACCCCCCACGACCCAGATAAGCAGATAAAACTGGACATAGGGTTGGAACATTACGTGACTGTCCAGCTAGTAAATATGCGCTGGCTCAGTGAGCAGCACCAACAGCAAGAAGTCTGATCAGAACCTATACAGGATTTAGTTATTAGCATTCTCAAGGCTTAGAAAAATTTAATCACCTTCAATGTAAACATTTGTAAAAGGTTAGAATGGTCTCTTACCAGAACAGGAAGCCAAGACACCAGCAGTATGGAGTTGTAGGTTCCAAGTGTTCGGATCAGGACCACAAATCGTTTAACTGTTGCGCCCTGTCCGCCAAAACACATTTTATGAACTCATGTCAGGATTTTCACCAAGAAACTAAATATTTACAATCCTGATCGACTCATTTCAGTTTCATAGAAGCCCCGACTAACTGCCCCGTCCCCCATAGTCCTGGACTAACTGCCCCGTCCCCCATAGTCCTGGACTAACTGCCCCGTCCCCCATAGTCCTGGACTAACTGCCCCGTCCCCCATAGTCCTGGACTAACTGTCCCATCCCCCCATAGACCCCCACTAACTGCCCCGTCCCCCATAGTCCTGGACTAACTGCCCCGTCCCCCATAGTCCTGGACTAACTGTCCCATCCCCCCATAGACCCCCACTAACTGCCCCGTTCCCCATAGTCCTGAACTAACTGCCCCGTCCCCATAGTCCTGGACTAACTGTCCCATCCCCCCATAGACCCCCACTAACTGCCCCGTCCCCCATAGTCTTGGACTAACTGTCCCGTCCCCCATAGTCCTGGACTAACTGTCCCATCCCCAAAGTCCTGGACTAACTGCCCCGTCCCCCATAGTCCTGGACTAACTGTCCCGTCCCCCATAGTCCTGGACTAACTGTCCCAACCCCCCATAGACCCCCACTAACTGCCCCGTCCCCCATAGTCTTGGACTAACTGCCCCATCCCCCATAGTCCTGGACTAACTGCCCCGTCCCCCATAGTCCTGGACTAACTGCCCCTTCCCCCATAGTCCTGGACTAACTGCCCCGTCCCCCATAGTCCTGGACTAACTGTCCCGTCCCCCCATAGACCCCCACTAACTGCCCCGTCCCCCATAGTCCTGAACTAACTGCCCCTTCCCCCATAGTCCTGGACTAACTGCCCTGTCCCCCATAGTCCTGGACTAACTGTCCCGTCCCCCCATAGACCTCCACTAACTGCCCCGTCCCCCATAGTCCTGAACTAACGGCCCCGTCCCCATAGTCCTGGACTAACTGCCCCGTCCCCCATAGTCCTGAACTAACTGCCCCGTCCCCAAAGTCCTGGACTAACTGCCCCGTCCCCCATAGTCCTGGACTAACTGTCCCGTCCCCCATAGTCCTGGACTAACTGTCCCATCCCCCCATAGACCCCCACTAACTGCCCCGTCCCCCATAGTCTTGGACTAACTGCCCCGTCCCCCATAGTCCTGGACTAACTGCCCCGTCCCCCATAGTCCTGGCATAACTGTCCCATCCCTCCATAGACCCCCACTAACTGCCCCGTCCCCCATAGTCCTGGACTAACTGTCCCATCCCCCCATAGACCCCCACTAACTGCCCCGTCCCCCCATAGACCCCCACTAACTGCCCCGTCCCCCATAGTCTTGGACTAACTGCCCCGTCCCCCATAGTCCTGGACTAACTGCCCCGTCCCCCATAGTCCTGGCATAACTGTCCCATCCCCCCATAGACCCCCACTAACTGCCCCGTCCCCCATAGTCCTGAACTAACTGCCCTGTCCCCATAGTCCTGGACTAACTGCCCCGTCCCCCATAGTCCTGGACTAACTGTCCCGTCCCCCCATATACCCCCACTAACTGCCCCGTCCCCCATAGTCCTGAACTAACGGCCCCGTCCCCATAGTCCTGGACTAACTGCCCCGTCCCCCATAGTCCTGAACTAACTGCCCCGTCCCCAAAGTCCTGGACTAACTGCCCCGTCCCCCATAGTCCTGGACTAACTGCCCCGTCCCCCATAGTCCTGGCATAACTGTCCCATCCCTCCATAGACCCCCACTAACTGCCCCGTCCCCCATAGTCCTGAACTAACTGCCCCGTCCCCATAGTCCTGGACTAACTGTCCCATCCCCCCATAGACCCCCACTAACTGCCCCGTCCCCCATAGTCCTGAACTAACTGCCCTGTCCCCATAGTCCTGGACTAACTGCCCCGTCCCCCATAGTCCTGGACTAACTGTCCCATCCCCCCATAGACCCCCACTAACTGCCCCATCCCCCATAGTCCTGAACTAACTGCCCCGTCCCCATAGTCCTGAACTAACTGCCCCATCCCCATAGACCTGGACTAACTGCCCCGTCCCCCATAGACCTGGACTAACTGCCCCATCCCCCATAGTCCTGGACTAACTGCCCCGTCCCCCCATAGACCCGGACTAACTGCCCCGTCCCCCATAGACCTGGACTAACTGCCCCGTCCCCCATAGTCCTGGACTAACTGCCCCGTCCCCCCATAGACCCGGACTAACTGCCCCGTCCCCCCATAGACCCCCACTAACTGCCCCATCCCCCATAGTCCTGAACTAACTGCCCCGTCCCCATAGTCCTGAACTAACTGCCCCATCCCCATAGACCTGGACTAACTGCCCCGTCCCCCATAGACCTGGACTAACTGCCCCATCCCCCATAGTCCTGGACTAACTGCCCCGTCCCCCCATAGTCCTGGACTAACTGCCCCGTCCCCCATAGACCTGGACTAACTGCCCCGTCCCCCATAGTCCTGGACTAACTGCCCCGTCCCCCCATAGACCCGGACTAACTGCCCCGTCCCCCATAGACCCAGACTAACTGCCCCATCCCCCATAGACCTGGACTAACTGCCCCATCCCCCCCCCATAGACCTGGACTAACTGCCCCATCCCCCATAGACCTGGACTAACTGCCCCATCCCCCCCCATAGTCCTGGACTAACTGTCCCGTCCCCCATAGACCAGCCTGTGTGATGAAGAGGTCCATCCAGGACAGCAGGTTGATCAGAACCAGGCTGAGGACAAACAGATCGTTGACTTCTGGCTGGACTGAACGCAGGAAAGTGTCCATTGCAGCAAGGGACAGGAACTCCCCGGTGCTAGGCGGACGGGGACATAGTAGGACGGAAGACAAGGACAGACACCATGAATGAAAACATTATCTCTTTCTGAGCCTGAATAAAGGATGAGTCTGTCCGATCGTCACCTGTTGCCGTAGCGATAGATGCCCTCAGGCATTTTGAGAATGTAAGCTGGACTTTGAGTCACTCCGATGTCCAACAGGCTGCTGCGGTTGTCCCACTGACGAACATCCACAAATATGAACTCAATCCTCCCGGTGAACTTGACCGACAGTGAGGAGAAGAAAACCGGAGGCTGGGCCAGATGAGCAAACAAGAACATCTTTATGGACCGAGCCGGGTCAGAGTGCCACTCCTCCATCAGCTGCTCAGAGTGTCGCAGGGTTTTGATCCGATGGGCCACATGAGACGTCATCCAGCGGAAGATCCGTTCAATTTCAACGTACTGATGGGTGTACTCTTTTAGCATGACCTTTCCCTTCGATGCTGAAGTCTGCGGCGCTGACATGACGAGAGTCGAGCGCTGCCAGCCCCGCTTCATGCACGAGCTGAACCAGAAACAGAGCAGAAGGTCAGATTCTTCTAGGGCTGAAACACAACCACTGCAGCAGACGGGACTTGAACCTGCAACCCTCTGGTAACGGGGCAGGCAATTAACTCTACTGCCACCGTCGCCCCTGGAATATTAAAGGATATATGATCTCAAAGATGTTTAGGACCTTCTAAAACAATTAAGAGTTCATCACAATGCACGTGTGAACTACGAAACAGTCGTTTTCTGTGATTCAACCAGAAATAAATCTATTTTGCTATTTAAACTTTAACCAAAGGCTACATTTAAAGCATAAAAAAACTCCTTTATGACAAGTAAGTCACGCTATTGATGTTGTTGTTGATGTTGATGAATGAACCATCCTTAGGTATGATCGGGGGACCGTGAACATGAAGCAACTGATCATATTTGCCTTTGTTGATTTGATTTTCTTTTAGTCGACTTTTCCATTTGCTTGAGCTCTTGGATGTTTTCTCTCTGTTTTAGTTTACTTGAGTCAGACTCACTCGTTTATAAAATAGGTCTAGAATAACCAAATTCATCACTCTGATACTTTTAAGTAGGGATGGGTACCTTTGACATTTGAGTCGATCCGGTACTAATTCCCGGTACCTACGGATCGATACCGGTACTTAACGGTACCAATTTTCGATACTTTTGAGTGTTTATTATTTTAATTCTCTTTTATAATTAAATATATATTTTTCTCAATATATAACAATATTTGATAAATATCACGATAAATAACATTCAACTGTTTGTATTTTAACATCGTCCTTGTAGTTTTATAAGCTGATAATTAAACTGAAGCAAACATCTTTACTGTGAACTAAATTTACTGTGCATCTTCATTCCTTTTGCCGTCTTTTTTCATTTGATTTTTCCTACTGGGAAGTTTGAATTTCCGAGGAGAAATCAAATGCACCATTAGCTGATAACAATGGTGGCAATGGAAGCTAACATACCAAGCTAACGTTATCTTAAACAGTTTATTTAGCTGCTGGAGCAGATTAAAACGATGATGCCTCACACTTCGATCGTTGTCGCTGGTTTCATCTTCACCCAATCACCCGTCACATTTAGTAAAGTGAAGCCAAACTTTAGAGCGTGTTCATGTTCTTCTAGTCGGGAATTCGGAGTTCCGAGGAGAAAGCGAATGCACCATTAGTGAAACGGAAGCTAACATATCAAGCTAATTATATTTACCTACCGGAGCAGATTAACATGAGGATGTCTCACTTAGATCGTTGTCTGTCACTGGTTTCATCATCACCCAGTTACCCATCACATTTAGTGAAGTGGACCCAAGCGTTAGCATGTGTTCTTTCTACCATGCTGCTCTGTTTACAACTGGCTCACAGGGACCGACGACATAACGCTCTTGCGCATGCGCAGCTGTCTAGGCAAGTTCTCGTTATGAAGGACGGGTACCGAAACGAGGCACCGTTTGAAATGACGTGAATCGGTGCTCGGTCGGTACCTTAAAAAGTACCGAATTCGGTACCCATCCCTACTTTTAAGGGTCATAAATGTACCCAGATGTGTTTATAAACTTCTAACAGAGCCTAAGGACACCCTGATTTAGGTCGTCAGGAGCTTGAAAATGACAGAGGAATCATCAGGCCAAGTTTGATTTGGATCTTTACGTGATCCTCACCTATTGTCACTGGAGCAGTTAAAGGTTCCAGTCCTGATACCAAACTGAGTTACTTTCTGAACCATCTTCCCCCAGTTGGACTGACTGAGTGGAGCCTCCTGGTTCTGGGCTATGACCTGCAAACACACATGAAGAGAAGGTCAAACGTCGGGCTGAACACACTGATCAGATTCTACAGTTTGATGCGTTGTTGATTTAAGTTGTTGTTATTGTTGTTGTTAGCCTCAAGGGCAACATGCCGATTATCACTTGTAAGTCGCTTTGGACAAAAGCGTCTGCTAAATACATAAACATATAAGTTATCTGGCAGGTGATCCAATGGACCCCACTGCACGGCTCTAGTGTGAAGGGTCCTCTTTAAATGTCCTTTGATTTTCCGAGGCAGTGGGACGAGACAATGTCGTCCAACATGAACCAGTACACCTGCCAGTTTACTGCTGCGTGTACGTATCGACATACCACAATAAAAATATAACCACTAGCTGACCAAAATGACTCATCTTTGCCTGACCGGAGCGGTGCTGCAGTCACGCTAGCACCCAGCCTTTTGTGTGTGGCAGTAATCCAGGAGGGCACGGACGTTACCGGTCCCAAGAGGATATAATGTTGGAATATGTGGATCATCTTTAGATCCAACATCTGGGTGTTTATCACTAACCAGCCCCCGCAGTCTGTGCACCAGCCTTCTAAATGGTCCCTGCAGATCTGTGGTCCTCCTCACAGTTTCCATGGTTTAACGTTGCTACTTTAGTTAGAGATGCATGTGGTGCTCGGACATATGACTCAGACTTTTTGATGCAGCCGTGAAGGCAATCAGTATAGTCACTGGGACCACGAGGTCATCTCAAACACAGAGTAGAAAAATCTGAAATGGTTTAGAGCTTTTTAAAGTCAGACACTTACACTCAAGCCACAATTCTGCTTGTGTAAATGGTTTTCACCTGAACCAGCCAGATCCCATCTTTAGTGTCCTCCACCAGCTCGTAGAAATGGATCTCCCCACTGAACACCGTGGTACTGGAGTCCTCTGCCTCAGTCTGCTCATTCTCCTTCTTGATGGCTGAATACAGCTCCCCATGAGTCAGCTCTCCTGTGGCAGGAGGACGGGAGGCCAGAGGGAGCCATTTAGTCAAATGGTAAATGAACTGGAAGGAGCTGCTTAAAGAGCAGCAAAAGGAACAATAATCAAACTCAGAAAAGAATCAAACTCTAAAAAGGAACAATAATCAAACTCAGAAAAGGAACAATAATCAAACTCAGAAAAGAATCAAACTTAGAAAAGGAACAATAATCAAACTCAGAAAAGGAACAATAATCAAACTCAGAAAAGGAACAATAATCAAACTCAGAAAAGAATAACCAAACTCTAAAAGGAACAATAATCAAACTCAGAAAAGGAACAATAATCAAACTCAGAAAAGAAACAATAATCAAACTCTAAAAAGGAACAACAATCAATCTCAGAAAAGGAACAACAATCAAACTCTAAAAAGGAACAACAATCAAACTCAGAAAAGGAACAATAATCAAACTCAGAAAAGAATAACCAAACTCTAAAAGGAACAATAATCAAACTCAGAAAAGAATAATCAAACTCTAAAAAGGAACAATAATCAAAGTCAGAAAAGAAACAATAATCAAACTCAGAAAAGAAACAATAATCAAACTCAGAAAGGAAACAATAATCAAACTCTGAAAAGAATAATCAAACTCTAAAAAGGCACAATAATCAAACTCAGAAAATGAACTATATTCTAACAACAGAGTTTTCTACCAGCTGACAGACACTGTTTACATGTTTTACTGCGGGTTAATGAAGACGACTTATACTCTGTACTTTTAATTATTGTCCGTTTACATTTCTTGTAGCTGTTCTTTCATCTTTAGGCTTTAATGGAATAAAACTTGATTATTATTAATGTGACCCCCACCCCACCCCACCTACTCATACACAGAACACTGCACTGGATAGAACACAGGTATTTGGCCTGTACTCTATCCCAGTAACATTTACTCGAGTACAGTTTTGTAATATTTGCTCTCCTCATCACATTGAAAGCAGATAACGCAGAAACTACCACCTAGGTGTGACGGTTACCTGACTTCTCCACCAGGTTGCTGACTTCCTTCTTCTCAGCCAGTCCGGAGTATCCCAGTCCTCTGCACTCTAGGATGGTCTTCAGCTTCTTGTAGCTCAGGGAGACGGGATCCACCAGCTGCGTGGCGAACATACCAGTCTCATACCAAACCACTGCCTCGAAAAACCTGGCCAGCAAGAACAGCACCATGAAGTACAGGAGCAGAAAGAAGAGCTTCAGCCACATTTTCAAGGCGGACAGGAGCGCTGATTAAACGTTTCAGGTCGGCCTAAACGAGCGAGCAGGTCCAACAGCGACTAATCCTTCCCATCAAACACCAGAGTCATCTTCAGCAAGTTCACACCAGCTCTATTAGCAGCGTCCTAGCTCATGGACTGCTGTTAACCCCAGGCCTCGGACATAGCTAGCAAAACAAAAAGGCCTGGACTGCGCGCGCAGCTGCGCGTGACCGAGAAACTGGTGGGCACCTGTACAGCTACAACACCAGAGCCGGTCCCGCACCACCGGCACCAGGTTCGGTTCTGGAGGAGTTCTGTTCACCCCCACCTAGAAGCTCTTTCGGTTCTGACGTGTAAACGTAAACAAGACTCTTTCTTCTTTGGGGAACGGCAGAGAGGGCGCACCGAAAGCGTGTCGCTGCCCCCTGTTGGTTCAAAAACGTACACCTCAACCCTCACACCCTTCTTAACTCCAGTTTGTTCACACAAATGAAACCCAATCCGGCTTGACGAGAAAACAATATCCAGCATGATCATATTAGTCCTGGAACTAATAAAGTACTCAGATTTACTTTCAGATGACAGCTTCGTCCTTTTTTTTTAGACTTTTACACAGCTTTTGACGCATTTGAACAGACATTTATCTGCGGTGCCTTAGAAAACTTTGGCTTTAGTCCATACTTTTGCTCCGCTATACAAATATTATATAAAAATGGAAATTGCTCAATCAGATTACACGTGAAACCCTCCCCCGATTTTTCCTTAAACGAGGAGTCAGACAGGGATGCAGGGGCGCCTCCGGAAATTTTTGATGGGGTGGCCAGATGGGGCCAAAGAAATTTTTGGGGTGACACACCAAACTGGTTCTTGTGGTAACTCCGGGAGAATTTAGCCTGTGGCGATGTACTGCATTTCACCTTTATTCATTTTTATTAAAATAACAGTACATTTCCAAAACTGTTGACGCTGCCATTTGAAGACAGGAGAAACGACGGCCAGTTACTCTTGACGGAGGAATGAACAAACACCATGCAGGCACTATTCAGTGGGGACCGGCAGTTGCTGCAGCAGCACCACGTCCTTTTATTTACGCATGCTCACAGATCAGTCACAGTTGTAAGAGCACAACTAATCAACAAAGCCTAACACCCCCACTTGCTCTTATACAGTGAACTTATTATCCATTATGACAAAATCAATTTACATTCCAAACAAACATTTCTTGAATCTTTCCATCTTGACCTTTGTTACAGACTTTGTTTAAACATCTGCAACCATGTCTGTTGTTGGACAATACTCAATAGTTATCTTTCCATCAGCATAGATCTAATAAAGTGATACTTCATGTCTATGTGTTTACATCTCTGACGACAGACTGGATTCTTAGACAAAACGATTGAACCTTGATTATCTCCAAAGATTTTTACAGGCACATAACATGCATCACTCAACCCTTTTATCAGTTGCAAAAGATATAAACTCTCCTGTACTGTGGCAACTAGAGCTATAAATTCTGCTTCACATGTTGAGAAAGCAGCACTTTGCTGTTTCTTTGTTTTCCAGGAGATAATAGAGCCATTTTTGTTGAAGCTAAAGCAGTAGCCTGTAGTGCTGCGTCTGGATCTGAAGCCCAATCTGCATCATTAAAAGCTACAAGTTCAAGCTTTTCTTCACTTTTTGTATAACACAGTTCTTGATTTATTGTCCCCTTTAGATATCTTAACACATGTTTTGTAGCTGTCAGGTGTTGTTCTTTTGGTTTGGACAGTGTAATGCCCAGCAATGGTCAGTTTTCACCTAAAAACTGACCTACATGCCACCGGTCACCGGAAGACATAAATTCCATTCTCTGAGATGGATTTCACATTCTACCTTCCAACAAGCAACAAGGTTCTGCAAACCTTGTTGACATTTCAGGAGGAACACGATGTCAGCCTGTGTTCCCAAACAAAGCCTTCTTCTGATAACACTGCAGGATTCCAAATGCCTCAGAATAAAGTGACTATTTTCAGCTCGTATGAGTTAATCAATCGTGAAATGAATGAACAAGTGTTATATGAATTAATAATAATGTTTTGATTAATCTGTGCTTAAATCATTGTGGTTGAAATGAAACATTTTGATATTATGATCAGTAATGTTGGTTTAACAAGTGAATCATTATTTTCCGACAGCTCACACACTCAGACACGTGACGATGACACGGTTAAGCTAATATCCTGACACATTGCTTTCTGTTCCACGAATCAGAACTCGTGTATCTGACGCAAGGCGTGATGTTCTGAGGATTGCTTGTGAACACCCCTTAACATGGCACGTCCCGGTTGGCCAAGAAATCATAATATGAGAATATTAAAACAGAGCTCACTAGACGGTGAGTCAGTTCTAGAGAAAGCTACGGACAGGCCATCCGTAGTGAACCCTCTTTAACCCAGAGCATGTTTGACAAGCAGCCAAAAACCCTGCTAAAAGCTGCCTACAGCTGACACAGCAAAACGGTTCCCTCAGCTATTCAGAAACAGCTGTTCTAGACGCAAACAATTCCATCTATCTGTTGTGATCCAGGAGACGACTCTGGAACGACCTGGTCGTACTGCGGTCCTGTCTACAACCTCGGTACCTTGGGGTCAACCGACCCCCTCGACATCTCGGATCTGAAAGGGAGTCTCCTCAGAGGTACGCAGAGCACAGCCAGATTGCGTCTGATGCCGTTTTGATAAGAACCAACTTCATAGTTTAATGCAAACCAAATTCCTTTTCACACCCAGAACTCATTTCAAAGTCAAAGTCAAAGTCATTTATTGTCATTTCTACCACATGTGCAAGACATACAGAGAAACGAAACTGAGTTTCAGTACACAATTCAGAGATCAGACATACATGGGCAAGACAGATGACAAGAATTGGTGACTGCGGTCATTCGCAACATGAGTCCCGCTACCTTAATAGATGAAAAGGAATTACATGAGGATAGGTTGGTGGAGGGAAAAAACAGGCATATCATAGTTACACTCGACAGGGGCGTAGCTGTACTATGCAAAAAAAAAAAAAACACCTCAGACATATATGCACGAACATCACAGTTACAAAACATCACAGATAACATCAGGCTCTGATAGGGAGGGGGGGGGGGTTCTGAATCCTCCAACGGGAGCTGCCAGTGTACGGCGCTTCAGTCAGCTGCAGTCAAACAGGTGGGAGGGAGAAATGAGGGACAGAGAGCACATTGAGTTCCTGCAGGTCGATGAACTCGAAGCAGAAGTCACAATCTGAAGGCGGGGGGGGGGGGGGGGGGGATGGTCGGGACACAGCATCTGTCAGCATTCCTCCTTTCGTGGGGGTGTGTTGATGGCAGCCTTGGAGGCTGCCTTGGCGTCAGATAAGGATAAACAAGACTTTGTTTAGGGCAGACAGAGATAATTTTCCTCTCTGCCTTGGAGTCTATTAAGTGGTCATTCATGTCCACCAGTGAAGCCAATTATACGTTCTAAACATCCCCACACCGTCCGGCGACCCTCTCCGAGATTACATCCATCTTGCGCACTAACACAGGCAACGGCGCGAGGACATTGTCCAGCTTACGGTTCACCTCGAGTAAAGTCCCAGTCTGTGAGGTCACCGCACGGGCGGCACATTCCGTGGGTACGGGTCGCACTCCAATCGCTCCCGTCTTCCCAAATTTCCAGAAAACCAGATATCCTCCCACTCCAATCAGAAGAAATCCAGTGATCATCAGGCCGAATATCCACAAATCTTCCACGTCCTCGATGGACAACTGAGAGAGGCACACGATTTGCCAGACCTCCCAAGAATCAAGTGCATATCCCGCTGCGAATGTCCCCTCGGGACAGGTGGGAGCCCCCTTCTCCGTTCTCATCGTAGAAAAAATCTTATCAATCGCGCTGAATGACCAGTTAATTAAGTCCATTTTCCAAAAAGAAGTAGTGATTTCAGGAGAAATGCAGAGGAGTGCTCTGTAGGCAGACAGGACAGAGAGCCTTGGGGAAGCAGATAAGGGAGCTGAAGAAAAAGCGTCTGTACTCTCTGAGAGCTGGATGAGAGCCATATTTTCTTCTAGATACAAGGTTCTGATGAACACACATCATTAAATCACCATACATCACATCCCATCCACTTAGATTCATCCATCACAGTCATCCTATTTAACTTGTCTTGTTTTTATTTATTTAGAAAATAAATTTCTTATCTTTTATAAACCTGACTGTCTGAATTGAGACAAGTGTGTTTGATCCCTGAAAAAGCAAAGAATCCTAAAATGTTCTGATTAAACATCCAAAAACTAATAAGGTTTATATCCTATATTTATATAGAGTATCACAGCTTATTGGTCATTAGTAAAGGTAGTATATCGAGCTTAAAAGCAACAACATTTACCACTCTACAACAGATACAGGAAAGTTTACTAACAATCCAACATATGTCAGGCCTTGTACAGGTCATTACATAGATTAAACTGCCAACCATCTCCATACCATTTTGCATCAACAGATTCACCTTCATCATCTGCAACAAGGAGATCATCAACCCAGATTAACAGATGAGTTTTTCCATATTCTGTTTGTTTACTATAAACACAACGATCTGCTTCATTCTGTATAAAACCACTTTTGCAAAGACAATCATGCAGCCTTTTATTCCAGTTCCTCCCAGACTGCTTTTGACCATATAAGGATTTGTTCAACCGTCACACAGGGCTGGATTATCGTTGCAGGGGCCCCTGGGCACGATGTGTTTGTCTGAGATTCAATAGCCATCAGTGACAGTGCACTGAGGCGCTAGTGAGTTTGTGTTGTTCTCAGTTCATTTTTTATTCTTGCCATTTGTGAAATGATCGTTCCCCTTCACAATTTGTGACTAGTAGAGTTAGGAAAACCCGCAGGGCCACAAACACATTAGGGAAGATGGACTGTAGACCATTTTTTTAACCTGAAAAGATCCTGGTTCTACTTATATTACATTATGTGGACTCTCCAGGATTATTGGAGCTCTGATTGTTGATGCGCTCCAGACAGATGCGTCCTGAGCATGGCCACAGTAACATTATCAAATTAGGTGTTGCCACCTCAGAAACAAACTTAACACGCGATCGTTCATGTCAGCTCATATCCTTTTATGCTTTCTGTCTTTTATTTGTGCCTGATGCGCCTCGCTGCTGCGGAGCGGAGCGCATCAGCTGTTTCGTCCTCCGGTGACTTCACCTCACCGGTGCGGTCAGCGCGCTCTCCGCTGTACTGTTTGCGGTTGGTAGATCTTTTAGAACTGCAGTTCAAAGGTAACTCATAAGGAAAATATATGGAGCCAGGTAGCAGTTTTTCTTTAGGATTGAGAGGAGATGTAGGAAGATAATAAACACACATATATGAAGGATTGGACTTCATCCCA